ATGTATGCTATACGAAGTTATTACGCCCTGGGGCATCATGCCAGCGGGGAACTGGGCGGGCGCCGCTGGCCGTAGGGGGCCATGGGCATGCCCTGGGGCATCATGCCGGCCGGAGCGTAGCGCGGGCGCGGGACCATGCCGCCGGGCTGGCCAGGGAAGCCAGGCTGCGGGTAGTACATGCCCGGGCCGGGGTAGCCCATGCCCTGAGCAGCGGCCTGCTGCTGGAGGCGAAGCTGGTTGCGCTGCATGATCTGCGCCTCGAGCTGCTGGCGACGGACGTCCTTGCGCTGGGCGAGGGCGACGTACAGAGGTCGATTGTCGAGCATCTTGCCGTTCATCTCGGCGACGGCCTTGTTGGCCTCATCGGGGGCCGAGTAGCAGACGAAGCCGAAGCCGCGCGAGACGCCCGAGGGAGCGCGCATGATCTTGCACGAGGTGATGGTGCCGAAGGGGGCAAACTCCTCGCGCAGGCGCTCGTCGTCGTACGACTCGGGGATGTTCTTGAGGTAGAGGTTGACGCCCTGGTACTGCGACAGCTTCTCGTTCTTGGCGGCCTCGTACGACCTCCGCAGCTCCTCCTCGCGCTCCGACTTCTTCTGGGCGCGGGCGACAAAGAGCTTCTGGCCGTGGAAGTCGGAGTCGTTGAGCTCGTCGACGGCCTTCTGCGCATCGTCGTGCTTGGCAAAGTTGACGAAGCCGAAGCCGCGGCTCTTGCCCTCGTCGTCGACCGAGAGGACGCACGAGGTGACCTCGCCGAACTTGGTGAAGAGCTCCTCGAACTGCTCCTGCGTCACCTCGAGGTCAATGTTCTTGCAGTAGACGTTGGTGAACTTGGAGCGAGCCTCCTCGATCTTGGCGATGCGCTCCTTCTTGGGGATGTGGTGACCGACGTAGACCTTCTTGTCGTTGAGCAGCATGCCGTTGACGTGCTTGATGGCGGCATCGGCAGCCTCGGCGGTCTCGTAGTGGACGAAGCCGTAGCCGAGGCTTCCGTTCTCGCCGACAGCGACCTTGCACGAGAGGATGTTGCCGAAGGCAGCAAAGGTGTCGTGGAGGGCCTTGTTGTCAATGTTGCCGTCGAGGTTCTTGATGAAGATGTTGCCCTGGCCGGTGCGACGGAGGGCGGGGTCGCGCTGGGACCACATGATGCGGCAGGGGCGGCCGCGGATGAGCGAGTAGTTGAGCTGCTCGAGGGCGCGCTCGCCGTCGGCCGAGTTGAGGAAGTTGACATAGGCGTAGCCGAGGGAGCGGCGGGTGACGGCGTCACGGCAGACACGGATGCTGGCGACGGGGCCAATCATGTTGAAGATCTCGAACAGCATGGCCTCGGTGACGGCAGGGTCGAGCTCGCCGACGTAGAGCGAGGTGTTGGGGGTAGAGTCGTTGCTGCTGGCAGCCGGCTGCTCGGCAGGGGTGGAGTTGACCGGGACGGCCTCGGCCGGGGCGGCGGCGGGAGAGTTGGTGGCAGACATGGCGGTGAGGAGGGAGGGGTAAAGCTTAGGGTTGCTTTTTTTGGGTGGCGAAAGGAAGAGGAGAGTAGGAGGATTCGAGGATGGCGGCGTGAAGGAGTGAAGGAAGAAAGGTCGAACGTGATCGGACTACCTTGAAAGAAAGCGGAAAAGAGGGGGTGAGAAAATTGCCTTTTGGTTTTGTTTTTCTGAGGAAGAGAGGGAGGAGACGAGATGACGGTGGCGAGAAGGGCGGTAAGCTTGCCTGTTGGTTGGCCGATGACGGCCAGACATGGTCTCGTTGAGAAGCGCAGCCGACGACGACCGAGGTGCCAGCGCCCGCTGTAGGCTTGACCGGGACGGTCTGCCGCGATAGACGAGATCGGATAGGCTGCCCCGCCTTTCTGGCCAGCGTTTCTGCTCCGCGTCTCGAGGCATGTCTTGACGAGCTGGCGGTCTTTGACATCTCTCGCTCGTCGCCGTTGCGCAGGTCGATGCCGCCACCGTCATGACCCTGGCGTCCATCGCCACCCCGGCGCCACGCCAAGCCACGCCTCGCCTCGCCTCGCCTCGCGATCCGCCGCCAACCGTGCACTCACCTGGCTTTTTTCGACTTGGTGAGGGCCTAGATCGAGGACTCTTTGTGCCAATGAGCTGTCCGAGCGAACCTCTGGATTTTTTGGTTTTTTTAAGGGTTTTTGTCGAAGACGGGAGGGAGGAGATGGTGGTGTTTTTTGGTGTTTTTTTGATGTTTTTGGTGGAAGGAAAGGAGGAGTCGTGATGGGCGCGGTGGCCAGATGGGCCCCCTCTCGCTGGTCCTCTTGGTCTGCCTACGCCTGGCAGGCAAGCCTGCACATCATCGCACCCTGGCTGGCTGGCTGGCGCCAACTTTTTTTCCTCTTCCCAGCCTGCTGCGCGTGGGCGGCCTGGCTGGCGGAGGAGCCGATGTTGCCCCGGCCTGCCTGCCTGGGCCGACCCCCGACCCGGCCCACACGAAGGGAGAGCGAGAATTTCGCGGTGCGCCCCCTCTGAAAAATTTTCCTGCCTCGTGCGAGTGGCCTGCCAAGCCATCCTGTCTGCAGACACGCCCCTCTCCCTCTTGGCGAGAAGACCGGGTCCGATGGCCAGCACCAGGAGACACCCGGCAGCCGACGCCAAAGACACGCGTGAGCCACGACGCGCTAAGCACATCGGGATCGGGAGCAACGCACCATGGAGCTGCTGGAATCGGTGCACCGTAGCAAGGAGATGCTTGTCGCCCGCAAAGGCCGTGGGAGAGGTCGGCCGGCGTGGCGCAACCTTAATCTCTGTACCCGCCTCGATGCAGCAGAGGGGACAGCCAGGGAAGGACGCCTGGCCAGCCGCGGTGGCAGTCCACAGCGCGCACGGCCGGAAGACTTTGGAAGGATGAGCAGTGGTGTTGTGAGATTTCGTCGACGTCTCCGTCGTCAAAGGGCTCCGTGCGAGCTACGTGCGGGAGCGAGGGATCAGGGCGCCTTAGTCTAGGGCGCGATGCTTGCCTAGAAACAAATACAGAGGAGAGAGTCGGAGCGAAGGCCGAGAGCTGAGCTGAGCCGGACCGCCGCGCAGCAGAGCGAGAGCGCCCAGGGATATATACAGGCGACGGCGCCGCTCGTCTCCGATACATGTGCATCCAGAGCGAGCGAGCGCAAGAGGGCGAGGTAGACGGGGACGTGTCCGTCTTTACTGGACGATGCCGACCTCGGCGGCACGGAGCAGGCGGTCCTTGATCTTGTACCCGAGCTTGCTGCACTCGAGCACCGTACCAGACTCCTTGCCGGGCACGGGCGCCTGGTAGAGCGCCTCGTGCAGCTTGGGGTCAAACTTCTCGCCGGTGGGGTCGAACTGGGTGATTCCGTGCGTGCGCAGCATGTCCAGCATGCTCTTCGAGGTCAGCTCGACGCCAGAGTAGAGGTCGGCGATCACGCGTCGCGGCTCCTTGGGGTCGAGGTCCTTGGGCGCCGTCCGGAGCTCCTCAGGGACCGACCTCAGCGCGAGCGCAAGAATGTCGATCGACGACGTGAGGTCCTTTGCGAGCTTGGTGACAGCGTAGTCGCCGGCCTGCGACTTCTCCTCCTGCGAACGCCGCTGCAAGTTCTGGTAGTCGGCCTTGCCGTAAAGGATCTGTTCCTGCGGGGATGAAGGAAGGGGAGGAACGACAGGTCAGTCCGAGGCGCGAGTTCAGCCCGAAGAGGAGATTGAGTGCCACGATGATCGGGTACGCACTGTGAGCTCCTTGATCTTGGCGTCCTTGTCCTTGAGCTGGGCCTGGAGACCCTCGGCGTCGGCGCCGTCGGCCGACTTGTTGTCGGTGGCACCCATGGCCTCACCCGAGGCGGCATTCTGCTCGTCCTTGACCTGCTCGGTCTTGGCATTGGCCCACCTCTGCGAAGTGGAGAAGGCCATCCTGGACGACGAAGCGGCAGCGACGCAGAAGAAGTGCGGTGCAAGCGGCTGCTGGCGGGGGAGGGCTCCGGCGCGAACGGCTTGCGAGACGGCTCGCTGAGCAGATCGGGTGGCTGAGCCGAACATTGGATGCGCTGAGGTGGGGAGGTGCAACCGGGGAGAGGGCTAGCAGGACGGTAGTCTAGATGACGGCTTCAAGAGCGGTGATCGCCAGTGCTTGGGAGCGAGGACGATGGGAGTGTTGGCAGTGATGGTGATGATGGTCGAAAGCGAGGGAGGGGAGAAGGATGCGGGGAAGCCTCGAGGGGTTGCCACACCTTGAGGCCGGTCAGCGTCCAATTCTTCCTGTCTTCTTACGGCACATGCCGGGGGCCTGCCAGGCTTGGCTGCCCGCTTCTTCCTTCCGCTTCGCCGCTTCCCGGGTCGAGTCGAAAAAGGCTGATCGACTCCACATCCATTCTGATCCTGACTTTCCCGGCCGAGAATCAAAGGCCGCCGATACACGCGACCGCCCGCTCGCTCGCCGACGCCTGCTCTCGCCTGGCCTGGCCTGGCATGGTTGGTGTCACAGAGGGTCAGGGCAAGACCCTTGGACACGAGCAAGCTGAAGAGGCGCATCGCTGGTCTTCGCCAAGAGGCTTCAGCGCAGACTCGCTCTGGGCTGATCACGACCAGGCCCGATGAACGCAACCCTGGGGGATGACGGTGCGACGCAGCACAGCCTCGGCGATTCGTGGGCCCTTTGACGCATCAGTCATGCGATTGCCCGTACTGGCATATCATGGCATCGTCCGTTTGCTCGCCAACAACCTCTGCAGAGATCAGAGAACAGGCAGGGAACAGAGCGAGCGAGCGGGGGCGATTGTCGTATCGCTGGCCGTCGAAAGCCAGCTGGGAAAGGCCGTCTGAGAGCCACTGCGAGCCCAATCATCGCATCGGTCCGACTGGTGGCCAGCAAGCAAGGCGGCGGTGTGTGTTGGACGGGGCTTCCGAGATTTGAAGCTGGCAGGGCCAACGCGGCATGGGAAAGCGGCGAGAAGAAGGGGGAGATCAGCAGGCGGTGCGCGCGGGCAGGCCAGAGAGCGCAGCGCAGGGGCGAGTCAAGCCGAGGCTGGGTTTGCGCGAGAAGCAGCGAAAGAGGCCCGAGCAGGCAAGGGCAAGGCGCTGCCTCGCCTGGCCAGCTGAGAAGCATCGCGCGGCCCCGCCCGTGTGACGCTTGCCAGGCCAAGCCAGACCGGCCTCTGGGCCAGCATCGGATTCACGCTCTGACCGTAGCCTGGCTTGCAGGTTGCCTGCCTGCCTGCCTGCGCTTGCCTGGCCTGGCTGCCTGCAGAGGGGCAGGCCAGGTTGAGCAGGCAGACGGCCAGTCGACGGTCATGCCAGCCAGGATAGGCAGGCCAGAAGGCCTCCCCGTGGGCAGGTACGACGGCAGGTTGACTGAAGGCCCCAGCCCAATCGTCATCGCCGCGCGAATTTCCTCTCTCGGCCCTGCCTGGCCTGCCCTTCTGGCCCTCTGGCTTGCCCTTGGCCTGGCCTGGCTGTGCGGCCCATCGCACCCTGTACCCGCCCGCTCCCTGATTCGTCGTCGTCGCACCCCTCGCACCTTCCCTCGCCTGTCCCGTCACCACCACCATCACACGTCTGCCTCCCTTGACGAACGCAACCCTTGCCGCCCCCTCTTGACGAACAAAAACGGATCACCACCGTCTCAACACGATATCCGCACCCTAACGCAATCCCCCTTTTACGAGAGAATCGTTTCCATCCCTCAAAATGGCCGCCCAAGCACAGCAGGTTCAGCAGAAGGCTGAGTACTACGTCGCCCAGGTCAGTATCCCTCCCCGAGCCGCGTTGCACATCGCCCTCGATCGCGCTGGCGAGGCCCCGAGTGCGATGCAGCTTTAGCCGCCCGCGGCGCAGCTCTCGCTGACGATCGAGCTGCCCTTATCTCTGTGTACCCGCCTGCCGATACCGCCTATTTGTGCCTTGTCTACGAACTTGGCCTTTGACTCTGCTTTCATCTCAAACAGATCGACAAGGAGGTGAGTATCGTTCCACGTGCTGCAGGTGATGGATCGCGCCGAGATTAGGACCCCATCTGATGTCGAGCGCGTACCCCTACTATTCCCGCGCACTTCGCGCGCCCCGCAGCTCTCCAAGTACCCTCTCTTCAACAAGTTTGAGCAGACCGTCCCCGTCCCCAAGGCGTACGCCGCCATTGGTGCCTTCGGCCTCTTCGTCCTGGTGAGTGCGCAAAAGCGGTGGTCTCATCGGGAGGCTTCCGAGTCGCACCGTGCCACCCTGGAAGCTGGCGACGGCTTTCCCGGGTGACAACGCCTCCGGGAGGCATGCCTCGACAGCGAAGAGTCGAAAAATCACTGCGAGGACTTCGCTCATCTCTTCTGCCTCGCACCGGTGCCTCCGTCTGCTTTGCCCCTTGGCTGTTACAGCTCGTCTTCTTCAACATGTGAGTACGGCGCTGGGCCGGACCGCGCGACAAAGCCATGGGCATCCTCTGACTCTTCCCCCGTCTCCTGCCTTGTGCTTGCCTCCCGTTTCCGGCCCGCCTTCGCAGCTTCGCTGGCTTCCTGACCAACGTCGTCGGCTTCTTCCTGCCCGCCTACTTCTCGATGAAGGCGCTCGAGACGCCCCAGCCCCAGGACGACATCCAGTGGCTCACCTACTGGGTCGTCTTCGGCTTCTTCACCTTCCTCGAGAGCTTCTCGACCGTCATCCTTTACTACGTTCCCTGGTGGTACACGATCAAGACGCTGGCCATTGTCTGGCTGATGCTGCCCCAGACCCAGGGCGCCAAGATGGTCTACTCCAAGGTCCTCAGGCCCGCGTTCCAGACCAGCCGCCAGACTGTCAACCAGCCCGCCGCTGCTGCTCCCAGCACCGCCGAGACCAACTAGGCGCCTGACGCAACACGACGCGTCCGTACCTGAGTCAGGCTGACATGCCCTGCTCTGGGTCGGGCGGCCGCTCTGCCTTTTACCGCAAGGCTCTCGGACGGGGCGAACAGCGAGGCTCGCTGGGATTGTCGGGACGAGTGCCCTAGCGCGGCTTGCTGCTCGAGGAGACGACGCCCTCGTCCTGACTCGCTCCCAACCTTGGCCTCGACGTTGCCCCGTACCACAGCTGTGGAAGTTTCCCGGCAACTTTCGCACGTCCCTCTTCCTCCTCCGCCAAATTCTTGACTGTAGCCCTGCCGTTCCCACGCCCTATCCTCCCGAATCTCTTCCTCTTCTACCAAGCAGTCGATCATCCACATCAGCCCGCAGTGACGCTGACGGCGTCTGCCGACAGCGGCTTCTCTGCTGGCTGCAGCGTTCGATGGGACAGGCGTGTGCGGTATCAACAAGCGGCGCCATGTGCAAGGAGGGTGCTTGCGTGCGTGTGTGTGTGTGTGTGTGTCTCATGACGATGGCTGAGCTAGCGCGCTCGATGGCAAATGGTGGTAGGCGTACATTGCTGTTGCGCTCCTATGCTCCCGAGGGACAGGAGACGGGCCCAATGTTGGCTCACGTCTGCTGCCCGCCTTTGCCGGGGACGAGGAGGTTGAGACCGGCCTTGAACCTGCTGGGGCGCAGGGCCATGCCGAGTTTGCGGTCCTGGGAGATGAGGTCGTGTTCGAAGGCCATCATGATTTCGGCGTGGGCGAGGAGGTCAAAGCACTGGTCGGTGTCGAGGTTGGCCTCGCGTTCGGCCTGGCGCAGCCGCTTGAGCTCGTCGGGCGACGCCGAGTCCATCAGCGGCAGAGGACGGATGCGGTTCGACCCGCCGCCACCGGGTCCCCCGGCCCCGCTCGACGTGCCCGGTCGCGATCGTCCCGCTGCTCCACCCGCCGTTCCTGCTGCTGCTGCCGTTTTGGATCCTTTGGCACCCGAAGTGGACGCACCGGTCGCCTTGGACGAGGCATTGGGCGGCGTCGACGTCCCGCCCGCCCCGCTCCCGCCACCGCCTCCGAGCGAGCCGAATAGCTGGTCCCATCCCATGATGCTCTTGCCAAACTGCGTATCGCCAGGTTTGCCGCCTCCAGGCTTGGCTGGCCTAGCACCTGCGCCCGCCGCACCGGGCGTCGACACCTTGGCGCCGCCGCCGCCGCCGCCGCCGCCGGACTTGGGCACGAAGTTGGACGCGTTCGGGTTGAGCTTGGAAGCGGCCTTGGTCGAGGCGGCCTTGTCGCGCGCCGAATCGATGCTGGCCCGCAGCTTGTCGGCGCCGGCGCCCAGGCCCGACGTCTTGCTCGGCGTGGCGCCCGCCTTGTTCTTGACGTAGGCGTTCCGTGCCGTCGTCGGCGTCGACTTTGCGCTGCCCCCCGCCGTCGAAGTGCGTGATGCCGTGCCCTTGGCCGCAGCCCCTCCTGTCGCCTTGGCCGCACTCCCGCCCTTGGCAGGGGCTTTGGATCGTGTCCCCGCGCCGCCTCGCTTGCTCTTGGGCCGCGAGTCGTCGATGAACTCGTCGCCCGCATCGTCGTCGTCGTCGATGTCTTCGTCACCGACTAGGGAGCCGTCAGACTCCGAGATGGCGGCATCCGGCATCTCTTCATCGCTGGAGGGTTGGGCTTCGTCGTCGCTGCGCATGAGGCGAGGCTTCTTGCGAGGCCCTCTGGCCTTTTGCTTTGATCCGGCGGCTTCTGCTGCCACGCCGCTGGTCGAGGGGCGCGATCGCTTGGTGGCCCGACGGCCGGGCTTGCTGACGCCTTCATCGTCCGAAGGCGTGAAGGAGGGTGCGTCCCGCCTCGTCGCCGGCGCTGCAGGCCCCTCTTCGCTTCCGTCATCTGAGGCGCGGACCGCCGAGACAGCGGTGAGGCCACTGCCGGCATCGTTTGGGCCGCCCGCTGCCTGGTCAGCGACGGCGTCGCCTTCGAGGCTCTGCTCGCGGCTAGCCTTGGATCTCGGGATCCTGATCTTGATTGCCGGGCGATCCGCCTCGGCAGCCTTTGCAGCTCCTTTCTTGGCCCTGCCGGCTGTGGCGGACTTGGCAGGTGGCGCGGGGGAGGAGGCGGACTGCTCGTCGTCTGCTTCGCGGAGCTTGGACGAGGGACGACGCTCCCTCGCGCTCTTTCGTACGTCCCTTGACGGCGTGGATGCGGCTGCAGCAGGAGACGATGTGGCCTCTGAGTTGAGTGTGGGGGGTAGGGCGGCATCTGCGTTGTCCTCTGGCCTGGCGGCATCGGTCGGATCGGCCCTGGGGCGCTTGCGGGACGAGGTGCGGCCTTTTGCCTTTGACGCGGAAGGAGCTGCGCCTGTATGTGCGTTGGGGGCTGATGTTTCTCCAGAAGCGAGCTGAGGGGCGTCGTCGGGGGATGCGTTGGGTGTCTGGGGCCGACCAGGTGTGGGGGGCGCCGCGTCTGAGAGTTCAGTGAGGTCCGAGTCGCTGTCTGCCGACATGGTGACGAGGCTGGGTGTAGCGTTGGGAGTTGCGTGTGAGGCCGCAGAGTAGGATGGATAAGCAGTCGATCGGTGCTTCTACGGCGGCAGGCTGAGGCTGCTGGCCAGTGGCGAGATTGGAGGAGGTGGTGGTGTGAAAACAGGCCCCGCCTTGTCCACAAATTCTGGGGGTCAGCAGAGGTTGGGAGCTCAAAGCTGCTCTGTCTGTCCGTGCGCACAGCTCAGCAGCCCGTCAGGCCCTCCACCCTCACCCTACCTTCCCTCCTCGACCACCTCGCCTCCCCTGCCGCCGCCGCCGCCACCACCACCATCCCTCGCTCCGACTAACATACCAATCGGCTACAGCCACCCACTCGGCTCATCCACATCGCTGGCCTGCACCTCTACTTCCGCCGCCCCACGCCTTCATCATGGCGGCACCTGCACCTGCCCCGTCCACTGCGGGCGCATCGGCCGCCCCCTCTGGCTCCGGCTCCAAGCTCGAGCCCTTCCTCATCCTCGCTCGCTCCACCAAGCCGCGTGGCGCCGCCGCTGCAAAGCTCGTCCAGCAGGTCACAGAGGCAAACGACGTCTACGCCTTTGCTGAGCTCTTTGACGTGCCGGGCGTCGCAGAGGTGAGTCAATGGCCCGTCTAGTCGCCCAGGTGCTCGGCCCGTGCAGCCAGAGCTGAACCCGCCTTTCCTTGCCCCGCATCGCTGTCCATCCCCTCCATCAACACAGCTCCGCACCTCGGAAGAGTACGCCCACTTCTACCGCCTCCTCGAGCTGTTTGCATACGGCACCCTGCCCGACTACACCGCGTCCCCCTCGTCGTTTCCAGAGCTCACGGCAGCTCAGCTGCTCAAGCTGCGCCAGCTCACCCTCGTCTCCCTCGCATCGGGCACCCGCGTGCTCCCCTACGCCACCCTCTTTGCCTCGCTCAACCTGGCCACCGAAGACATGCGCGAGCTCGAGGACCTCATCATCGACTCAATCTACGCCGGCCTCGTCGGCGGCAAGCTCAACCAGATCCGATCCCGCTTCGAGGTCGACGCCGTCATCGGCCGAGACGTTCGCGGCCCCGCAGAGATCGATGCGCTCCTGACGCAGCTCCAGGGATGGGGAGGCAGGGCCGATGGAGTGCTCAAGAGCCTCGAGGCCAAGATCGAGAGGATCCGCGCACAGGAGGCCGCAGGCGCTGCCGTCAGGCACGAACACAACCAGGCCCTCTTCCTCGCCCTCCAGCAGGCCCAGGAGGGCGCTGGCGGCAAGGGTCAGAGGGCCGCGTGGGCCGGCGCAGACGGCATGGATCTTGACGGCTGGGACGACCAGGCTGCGGGTGGTCGAGGCGGCTCGAGGAAAAAGTGAGTAGAAGCAGCATGTTCCCCAGCCGGCGCATCGCAGCTCGGTATCGCATGACTTACACCGCCATCTTGCCGTACGCCGCCGACTGCGCTTTGTCGACAGGATCGGATCTGGCGCCTCCAGTTCGACGCAGCGCAACAAGCGCAGCCGAGCATAGTCGAACGACCTTGAGCGCGACTCGAGAGCGACCGCCTTGACCCTCTACGAAACACTTTTGCGGCAGCAGCACCATGTACCACCACCCTCGTCGTCTGGCGATTTCAACGACTCCAAACCATCGCCGCTGTCCGTCGCGTGCCGCCCATCCCGTCTCGTCCGCCCACGCATGCATAGTCAGTTCGCCGAGATGCAAGGTGGTGGGAGACCGAAGCGCACAGATGGTTCGATCTGGTCATCTGTCTCGAGCTGCCGATAGCGACGTTAGGTGCGAGAACCGCCTGGGCGCTGGCCGCGGCATCGTTCGTCGCCACATCTCGCGGCGGAGGTCAAGCTCAGACCATCATTCGGATCTGGATTCTGGTCGAGAGACACGACAGGACACAACGTCTGGGATGCGGTCGTCGGTGGCGCAGTGTAACGTCGACGCCTGTTGAAGACGTCTGACTTGCGCGATGGGAGAATCTGATAACGCGATCTATGCCGCTGGGTGCGGTCGAGGTTGCCGCACGTCGATACTGCGGCGGCGGCGCGGTCGAGTCGGTCGCTGTTGAAGCGTTTTGGCATGTGGACGCGATGCTGATTGGGAGTCAGGCCTGCTGACTTCAGCCATCGCGAGGGTGCTCAGTTGGCGGCGCGGAGTCGCGTCTCGAAGCTGCAGATCGCATTGAGGCCCTGCTGGAGACGGGCGCGCCGAGCCTTGAGCTCGTTGCGCGCGACGACGATGCCGTCGTCTTCCTGCAGATACCTGACGCAGCGTTCCATTGCGTCCTTCTGCTGGATGCCGAGGCTGGCGTGCAGGCACTCGAGGGCCTCGTCGGCGACCTTGCGGACAAAGTGCACATCGAGCATGCCCGGCACCATGTCAATCACCCTCTTGTAGGCCACCTTCCAGTAGGCCAGCATCTCGGCGCACAGCTCGAGCTCTTCGTGGTACTCGCCCGCCTCCGATAGCCGCACGAGCGCGCTGAGCTCGACGTTGATTCCGGCCGAGCGGAGATGCGAGATTGCCTGCTGCTTGTGGTAGTCGACGTCGGCCTGCTCGCGTTCCTCGGTTCTGAGGCGGATTGGGGGATGTGACTGGATCAGATGGCTGCAAGGTCGCCAGATGTCCTCCATGAATTCTCTGGACCATCAAGACTCACCCTACTATGTCGTCTCGACGATTCTGCAGGGCCTCGACCATCGATGCGCGAGTCGAGACGAAGTAGTGAAGATTGGCCGTGTCCACCGTTTCTTCGAAATCAATGATCTGCATGAGCGCAGTGAAGGCGATCCTACCGCGCTCGTCGATCCGCTCGCACAGGCTCGACCTTCGAAGGTGTTACGTCCGAGGAGAGATTCATCAAGTGCCCGCCATGAACCGTCAGCAAGGTTCTCGCCGTCGCGATGACGAGCCATCCAAGCGAGGTGGATGTGCAGCACTTACGTGACCAGTGACCTTAGCGGGCTTGACTCGTATTCGCCGAAATGCAGGCCAATGAGCTCCTTGACGTGATCGAGCAGGAGTGCCTTCGTCGCCGTGAAGCAGGCAGTCGTGATGGCCCTCCATGCTTTCATCGAGCTTTGCATCAGAGCCACCTTGACAGGGTACGGCGTGTTGCCCGGAAGCTCTCGCGTGATCGAGCTGGTTGTGGCGCATAGGGACTGGTCAGCGCTGGGCACCGTGTTCCGGCTCGGCGAGGCAGGTCAAGACTCACTCTTCCTTCCTCCGGCGGATATCGCTCAGAGTGAGGATCTCGGGGACGGCATCGCTTTCCTCGTGGTCATGCGTGTCGTCTTCCAGGTGGAAGCCCTCGAAGAGATCGTCCATCTTCTGACAAATGTCCTCCAGTGAATCGTCTTCGAGCGGCGTGTAAGACTCGCAAGCTTCGTCGTGCTCCTCCCGCTCCTCGTCGGTGACGGGAAGAATGATGGGCGCGGTCAAGCTGGAAGCCCCGAGCATCGAAGCGAAGTCAGCTGACAGTCCCCTTGACAAGGCGATCAGAGTCTTCGATCCCAGCCCGACGCTCACCGGATGCGATTCCTGAAGCGGGCAAAAATGCGGCGCCGAAGACTCTGGATCAGCTCTGGATCCTTGATGGAACCAGCGACGCAGTCCTGCAGCTTGCTGGCGAAGGCGCGGCAGAGCCTGTCAACATGCGCGATCGCCTCGTGTTGGCCGATCTCGGTGGGCATGGCATCGAGCTTGACCTGGACGTCGTTGAGGCTCTTGCGGATCTGCTCGGTCAGCTTGGGGGTCCTTTTGCGGATGAAGGTTTCCAGCAGGCTGCTTAGACGGTTGACTAGCTTTTCAGTGCCAAGACGCTCGCGCGACAAGGACGGCAGCGACAGCCACTCGGACCTTTGGAAGAGCAGGCGCTCCTTGGCTCGGGCTTCCCCGTAAGTGATGCCCTCATCGAGATCCTTGGTAGAAGGGTTCTTGACGACGAAGTAGCCGTGTCGTAGCGGCTGAACCTGGCCCAGCAGCACGTCCTGCCAGTATCCGAGGTCGCCTTCCTGCACCGCGTCGGGCTTGGTGAGGACACCTGCGGAGGGTGTGACACAGAGATGCACGGGTTAGACGCGGAAATCCAGTGATTGCTCGTCCTCGCCGACAGGGGGCTCACCGATGGTGCGTTCGCCTTTCTCGTCAACCTCACGCGAGAGCATTGCGCCGTACTGGGTCTGGATATCCTCGGTCATTGTAAGAGTGAGCAAGATGAGGCAGTTGCCGCCCTTGATGGTCTCCTTGGCGAGGTTCCTGATGAGGTCGATGCTGTCTTCCTCGCCCTTGGCGGCGTTGGAAATGAAGCCAGGCAGGTCGACAAACGAGAGGCTGGGCACGCCGGGGCCGGTGATCTCGACGCAAACCAGGTTGGTGCTAAAGTTGAGCTGCGGCTTGGCGGACAGGTCGCAGTGGGCAGAGAGGAAGGTTGTGGAATCACTCGAAGGATTCAGGACAGCGAGCTGAGCCCGGCGAAGCCGTTCCTCGACCAATGCCCTGTCGTTGATCGGCTGACCAAAGGGAGTCTCCTTGATGTCTTTGAGTAAGGCGCCATCCACGTCCTTTTCTAGGCGCAGCTTGACCAGGCACTGCCAGGGCTGCGTTGACGGCGACAGGCGAATCTCCATCGGGCACCTCGTGCAAGTACCCTTGGCCCGAGGGAGCGTGATCTGAGAAGAGGAGTTGCATCGACGACCAGCAGCGATTCAGTGGATGTGTCGTCGTTCGAGGCCGAGGCGCGCAGGGAAGAGGGAGTCACTCGACCTACCCCAGAGATGCCTTCGATGAGACTTGACTTTCCAGCAGACTGGTTGCCAATAATGGCGACGCGAGGGACATCGACGTCGAGCGACGCGCCACACGCTCGCAGCTAACTCGAAGCGGAGGAGGACGATGGGGCCGTGGCATGGTCAGCATCGTCCAGATGGGATGCGCCCAGGCTCCCGTTGCGAGCTCACCTCGTCCATGAGCTGGGTGTGCTCCTGCGCCGTCGAGGCATACGACGACGACTCGAGGCTACTGGGGGAGCCGGCGTGCCCGTCTTCGGTCTTGACGAGGGCCTCAGACATGCTGGCCGGCGTCGTTTGCGGTGCTGGAGTAGTGAAGCTAAAGGTGAAACGATCCGACATGCCGAGAGGAGGTCTGGAATCGATCGAAGGGCTCAAGGAAGGAAGGACAGGCAAGGGCCGGCGACAGTCTGCAATCACAGAGGAGCTGGACGAGGCCATGGCTTTTTGTACCCGGGCAGATGCAGGCTGCGTGGTCCCAAGAGGGCTCGGACGGTTGCGAATCGGGCCACGCCCATGTTGCTCCCCTTTGATGAAGGGACAAGAGCACAGCGAACGATTGTTCAGGACAGCGCCTCGAGGTTGAGTGGTTCCGCGCTCGGCCCCCCTTGGCACCCATCCGAAGACGCTGCGGTTGCCAGCATCGCCTTGCTTGCTTGAGTCCGATTAGCCAGGCGGAATGACCCGGCCGGGGCTTGCGCCACTGCGCGGCCGAGCTCGGGCGGAGGGGGACGTGCGCGGATGCAGCGTCCCGTAGATGAGCGTGGTCAAGGCCATGAGCTGCGCCGCCGGCCGCACGAGAAGCCTGGCCCGAGCAAGACGTGTATGATCTGGTCAAGAAGGATCCTCGACAAAGGGGACGGGTGGCGAGGAAGAGGTGAGGCAACGCAACGCAACGCAACGCAACGCAACGCAACGCAACGCAACGCTACGCAACGGCCTGGCGGGCTGGCAGAGGTGGAGGCGTCGCCGTCCGCCTGCACCCTCCCGGACACCGTCGGGAATCGGAAAGGGCGTCGCCGAGGGCTCAAAAGGCCAAGAGAAAGGCAGATGAGGGCCTCCTGCCTGCCTTCATCCTGCTCCACCACCACCTCCATCGCCATTCCACCTTGTTCCCTTGTCCCTGGGAGCCGCAAGCCGCACCGCGAGTCATCTGCTTCAGGCAGCCGAGCAGCACCTCCGGGCTCCCACTGCGGACCGCGGCCCCGACAAAATGAGCGTGCTCCTCGAGACCTCACTGGGCGATATCGTGGTGAGTACCTGGCTGCCCACCTCCACCTTCGCATCACCTCCCAGCTCACAAGGTCCTTGCCCCGATCCTCTTTCTTCTCTGTTGCGACGAACCCTCGCTCGCCAGATCGACCTCGAGACCGAGCTCTGCCCGAAGGCGTGCCTCAACTTCCTCAAGCTCTGCCAGGCGCACTACTACAAGCTCAACGCCTTCTTCTCGGTGCAGCGCGACTTTCTCGCCCAGACCGGCGACCCCACAAACACGGGCGAGGGTGGAGAGTCGATTTGGTCCCGCTTGCCCTCGTCCTCGTCCTCCAAGTCGTCCTCGCCCTACTTCACGCCCGAGACGCACCCGACGCTCAAGCACAGCAGCAAGGGCACCGTCAGCTTCGCCTGCACGCGCGGCGCGGGCGAAGACGCCGACCTCGTGGCCGGCTCGCAGTTCTTCCTCACGCTCAAGGACGACATCGGCTACCTCGACGGCAGGCACGCGCCCTTTGGCACCGTCGTCGAGGGCCAGGAGCCCGGCGGCACCCTCGACAAGATCAACCAGGCATTCACCGACGAAAAGCAGCGGCCACTCAAGGACATCCGCATCAGGCATGTCGTCGTGCTCGGTGAGTGGACTTTCGGCATCGCCGGTCCAGTGATCCAGCTGCATCCCCGCTGACCATGTCGTCGCCGCTCATCGCGTTTCCTTCCCGCCCGCAGAGGACCCCTTCCCGGACCCAGAAGGTTTCGTCCCGCCATCTCGCTCCCCATCGCCGACGCCGGAGCAGGTGCGCGCGCTGCGGCTGGCAGACGACGAGGACATCAACGAGACGCGCGATGCAGCCGAGATCGAAGAGTCGCGCCGGCTGGCCGACTCGTCCGCCGCAGCATTGACGCTCGAGATGGTGGGCGACCTGCCGTTCGCCGAGATTCGGCCGCCGGAAAACATCCTCTTTGTGTGCAAGCTCAACCCAGTCACGCGGTCCGAGGACCTGGAGCTCATCTTTTCGCGCTTCGGCCGCATCCTGTCGTGCCAGGTCATCAAGGACAAGCGCACCGGCGACTCGCTCCAGTACGCCTTTATCGAGTTTGACAAAAAGGAAGACGCCGAGCGCGCCTACTTCAAGATGCAGAACGTCCTCGTCGACGACCGCAGGATCTGGGTCGACTTTAGCCAGAGCGTCAGCAAGCTCCATGGCGACTGGATCAAGACGCGCAACGGGGGCAGGGAGGTGCCAGAGGGCTACTACGATGGCAAGGGCGGGCGCGGTGGCGCTGGCGGACGAGGAGGGGGAGGGGGAGCTCGCGGCGGTGGTGGTGGCGGCGGGAGGAGGTACGACGGCGACATGGTCTTCGATTTCGAGGATGGTCCGAGGGGCGACAGGAGGAGGGACGATCGGGACAGGAGGCCGCGCTCGCCGCCGCCTGCGCCAAACTCGAGACGGGACGATCGCAACGGCGGCCGTGGAAGCGACGGTCGAGACCGATACCGGGACGGCGGGAGCGGAAGGGATGCGCCGAGGTACGACGACCGCGATCGACGGCGGCACGAGGATGAGAGGAGATCGTCCCAACGCGATCCTCGCGACGAGAGGAGGGATCGCGATGGCGGCAGGAGGGACGGGGACAGGATGAGGGATCGTGGCGATCGGGATCGAGAGAGAGATCGCGACCGGGACCGGGATGCCCATCGGCCACGCGACGACCGGTACGGCCGCCCACGCTCACGCAGTCCGATGCGGGATCACCGTCCGTCTCACCACTCATCGAGGCGTTGATACGCCACCGTGGCACTGTATGATTACCACCTCGACATCTGGCCCGACCACCTCGGGCGCAACATGGCACGGTCCAAGCGGCCGCGCTGCCGAGGACCCGCCGCTGATCCGACGGTCCACGGCTTGGCTGGTCACCTCAGTCCTTCGACCAGGGTCCTTTCGGCGGTGCGGTCCACAGAGGCTCGGATGGACTGGGTGCCGTTGGTGCCGGCCGCGTCTTGAGGCGGAGGATGGGGTTGGAGATCCTCGCGACACAGTGGGCACATTGGGCTGATGGTGAGCCACGAGTCGATGCATTGAACGTGGTCTGACGGCGGTCGGCAGGCAGGGCAGGACGAGGCAGTCAGTAGGCGGGTGGCGAGTCCAGAACACATCGGCAGCGAGGCCGGCAATGACGACTTACAGTGGTGCCGACCGAGGCAGGGGAGCACCCTCACCTCGTCGCCGTGCGAAAACGTCTCGGTGCAGATGGCGCACCATTCCGTCCTCTCGTCTGCTACCATGGCCGCGGTGCAAGCCTGGTCATCGTTTTGATCGTCATTGTCGTGAGCCCCGTTGCCCGTCCAAGCCTTGCTGCGGCCAGAGCTGTTCTGCTCGCCAGCCAGTGCGTCGGTCGTCGCATGCGTCGTCATGCGGTCGTCGTCGGGTGATAGCGTAACGGGCGGGCGGCAAAGGCTCCCTGTGGCGGCTTGTCCCTCATGTTCTGTGCTCCCCGCTGCTGCCTCTGTCCGACCGTGGGCCAACCCGAACGCAGCGGGTGTGTTTGGCGGCAGCTCCGCGCACTCAACGGCAGCCACGGCGTGGCCTGCTGCTACTTCGGCCCGCTGGTCTGCGGACGGCGGGCGGCGCACCACGCTGCCCTCTGGCAACTTTCGAGGGGATGCCCGCAGCGCACCCCAGGTGGTGACGGGGAACGTGTCGAGCACCGCTCTGGTCAGGCCGGCCGCACGGCTCCTCGGCGGGATCGGTCCGTCGGGATGCTCCGGGTCGGCCGCCCGCGGTCCGTACCGAACGGGATCGCGCCGAGCGCGTCGAAGGCCAAAGATGAGCACCGTGATCACGGCCACGACGATAAAGGCGCACGCCGATAGCGTGCCGATGGCGGCGGGAGAGCTGAGCGCCGACTTGCGATGCGCAGAGGGGGGGCCACCGACGATGCCGGGCACCGACCCAAAGGCACCGTTGACGGATCCAAAGGGCATCGGGGGCATCGTCGGCCTGTCGCGCGAGCTGTTGGACTGGCTGGCCATCGTCGGCGCGTCGCTGCGCGTCTCGTAGTGGTTCACGGGCCGCAGGACCAAAAGCGGCGGTGGCATCGACGCCGTGAGGGGGGCGGTGCCTGGGAGCGCGGGTCCTGGAGGTGGCGTGGGCGGGATGGAGCTGGCCGTCGTGCCCGTCGTGCTGCCGCCGACCCTGATGCTGCGGTTGCTCGCGAGTGATCCGACCTCGACTCGGATCCAGCGGGGCAGAGAGATGCTCGTTGAGGGCCAGGCGGGGAGGCAGCCAAGGCGTAGGACGTGGTAGAGGAGGAGGAGGAGGAGGAGGAATCGCGGCACGCTCCGCCGCGCTGACCAGCCGCGGCGAGAAATGAAGGAAGGTGGCCGACCGGCAACCTTGCTGCTGCCTTCGGAGAAGCCGAAGAGGAGCCACAGCAGGAGCGACAGCTGAAGAGCCAGTTGTTTGGCCATGGCGACGACCGAGACGAAGGGTGGCGGCAGGGCTTGAGATTAGCTGCGCAGAGGAGCGAGCAAGAAGGCAAGAGGTTGGACTGACAGACTAGGCGGGGGGCGGAGGTCGGGGACAAGAGGCTGTCAAGTCCACCGCCGGCGTAGACCTGCTGATAAGGGAGTGACGACGAGGACAAGGGCGTTGATGGAGGGACACAGAAGGCAGACCGGGGATGGTCGACCAGATGCTGGCTTCTTGAAGGTTGGTCGGTCGGTCGGTCGTTCGGTCGGTCGGTCGGCGTCGCTGCCTATACCGGCTACGCCCCGGCCAGAGAGGGCCGTACATGCATGTATGCTGCTGAGCGGGCGAAGATGGAGACGGTGCAAACAGCATCTGCCTCTGCCTCTGCCTCTGCCCCTGTCGTTGCTTCTGATGCCAGCACGCCAGCTGGAGCGCTTCATCAATCACGGCTCGTCCCCCCACCTCGGCGCCAACCTAGGCAGCTAGAGGGCAGTAGGCGGTGCCTTGTTGTCCCAGATCGCAGTCGGTCGGAAGCCGAGCCGTTCCCATCCGGCCTGATACGACACGCCAGACCAGAGGATGCCCGGGTCGGCTCATCTCTAGATCAAGCGCCCTTGCGATGAGACGGTATGAGAGCGGCAAGGCCGGAGGGCTAGTCAACACCAGACATCCGGACCCATAGCTGCTGCTGCTGCCGCTGCTGCTCGCCGTAGGTGTGGTCGGTGGGGGTGGGTAGGAATAATGGGCGAGGGATGGTGTGTGGGTCGTTGGGTGGTGGGGCGGGTGCACCGTGCGTTGGCCGTTTGAGCGGAAGCTGGCGGACGCCGCCGCCAAAGAAGCCGCGTGCGTGCGTGCGTCGGCGCTGCCGAAGTCCGGGATTGTGCCGAGGCCTTCTTCTCTCCACCATACCACTCGCGCTCTTTGCGCTTCCGCCTTTCCCTCTGCTACCAAACAACTTCCTTGCTGGTGCTCTCTCTGCCACGCCGCGAGCACGGCGACCCCGACCCATCTGGACAGCGATCCGTCGACCGCCAACGTTCCTCCGACCCGACCTTCGGCGGCTTGCCCTCTGCATCGCATCGCTTCGTCCGTGGACAGTCTTCAGACTCCTCCGCAGCGCCATCAAGTCCTCCCTTGGCGGACGGGGGAGAGACAATGTCAGACTCGCAAGGCCTGACGCCAACCACGCCGACCTTCCCACCCGGTTCGAGGAGGAGACCAAGGGCCCCGGAAGCGGAGCGCAACGATGCCACCGCAGCCAGGGCCAACGAAGACGACGAGGCACTAGATGAGATCCGCAGGTACGAGAGCGTAAGTAGCAGCAGATAGGAGGCTGCAGTTCCGGCTTCTCTCGCTGCCATGAGCTCAAGAGGGGCTGACGTCGGCCGCCTACCTCTGCGCTGCTCGACAGTTCTCGACCGTAGACTGGATCGTCGATGGAACCCGGGAGCGCAACCGCCTGGCGCGGGAGCGAGAAGCCGAGTCGATCTACTTCTCCAACGCTCAGCTCGCGAACGGAGGCGAGGCCGCATGGGGCCGCTTCGGCTTCGGCAGAGCAGGGCTGCCCCCGAGGTGGTGGTCCAGAGGGCCCTGGGGTCGGAGGCTGTGGCTCATCTGGGGCGTCGTCAAGAGCGCCCTCAGCGCCTTCACAGACAGCGGCGTCGTGGTGCTGGTCGGTGAGTCGGCCGGCGCTCTGCGACTTCACGATGACGCGCCAGGCTTCGACCGGACGCTGACAGCAAGCCCGTCTCTGCCTTCTCTCCTCTCTCCGCCTGTCGCCGCTGACACTTCTGCCTCTGCCATGCCAGGCATCATCATCGGCCTCAACATGGGCATGATCAGTCTCGCCACAGAGTGGGCATCGGACCTCAAGCAGGGCTACTGCTCGTCGGGCTGGTGGCTCAACCAAAAATTCTGCTGCTGGGAGATGATGGACCCGGCGGGCCCGGGAGGAGCGCCAATACCCGCGGCCGCCAAGGCGGTAGCGGCAACGACGGCAACGGCGTCGCTAGCAGCTCCTTCGCTGGCTGCTGATGCGACCAAGTCGGCCCTTGGCACAGCGGCGACCTCTGGTACGGCGGCCAACCTCACGGCGCGGCTCGTCGAACGCTGGGACGATGCCGGTGGCGATCTTCTCCTCGACACGGGCAGGCAGGTCGTGCGGCGTGGGCTCGGCGGCGGACTGTCGCTGCTTTCCCGCGCCGAAGAGGTCTCAACGCCAGCCATGGACCTCAGCGAGACGTGCACGGACTGGGTGCCGTGGTCGCACTGGACGGTGCCCGCGTTCCTCGTCTACCTCGTCTTTGCCTGCCTACTGGCGGCCACCGGCGCCCACCTCGTCCGCTCGTTCGCACCCTATGCGGCGGGCAGCGGCATCTCGGAGATCAAGTGCATCCTTGCTGGCTTTGTTATCAACGGCTACCTCGGCTTCGGCACGCTCGCCATCAAGAGCCTGACGCTGCCCCTCGCCATCGCCTCGGGCCTCAGCGTCGGCAAGGAGGGTCCCGCGGTGCACGTGGCCTGCTGCATCGGCAACGTGGTGGCGGGCTACTTCCGCAGCTTCAACCGCAGCCAGGCCAAGATGCGCGAGCTGCTGACGGCCGCCAGCGCTGCCGGCGTCGCTGTGGCGTTTGGCTCGCCGATAGGCGGCGTGCTCTTCTCGCTCGAGGAGATGGCGCACAACTTCCCGGCCTCAACCATGTGGCGCAGCTTCCTCTGCGCGCTGGCCGCCACCGTCACGCTGTCGTTCATCAACCCCTTCCGCACCGGCAAGCTCGTCCTCTTCCAGGTGTCGTACGACCGCGACTGGCACTACTTCGAGATCCTCTTCTACATCATCATCGGAGTCTTTGGCGGTCTCTATGGCGCGTTTGTGATCAAGTACAACCTGCAGGTGCAGAGCTTCCGCCGGAGCAACCTGGCGCAGCACGGACTCGCCGAGGCCGTCGTCCTGGCCGCCCTGACGGCCTTTATCGGCTACGGCAACAAGTTCCTCCGGATCGACATGACCGAGTCGCTCGAGATCCTCTTCCGCGAGTGCGAGGGCGGCGGCGACTACGACAACCTCTGCCAGTCGTGGGCCCAGTGGCGCATGGTCAACTCGCTGCTGCTCGCCACGGTGCTGCGGATCGCGCTCGTCATCATCTCGTACGGCTGCAAGGTGCCCGCCGGCATCTTTGTGCCGTCGATGGCCATCGGCGCCACCTTTGGCCGGATGATTGGCATCCTCGTCAAGGCGCTCTACAACGCCTTTCCTGACGCTAGCCTCTTTTCCGCCTGCCGACCCGACGTGCCCTGCATCACGCCGGGTACCTACGCCTTCCTGGGCGCCGCCGCCGCGCTGGCCGGCGTCACGCGGATCACGGTGGCCGTGGTCGTCATCATGTTTGAGCTGACGGGCGCCCTCACCTACATCCTGCCCACCATGCTCGTCGTCGGCATCACCAAGGGCGTCGGCGACTACTTTGGAAAGGGAGGCATCGCCGAGCAGATGATCAAGTTCAGCGGCTACCCCTTCCTCGACAAGGACGAGCACGCCTTCGGCATCCCGGTCCACGACGTCATGAAGACGGACCCTGTGACGCTCAACGCCGACGGCATGCCGCTTTCCGAGCTCGAGGCCAAGCTGGAGCAGGCCAGCTACAAGGGCTTCCCCGTCGTCGCCAGCCGGAACGACGCAACGCTGCTCGGATACGCCGGCAAGATGGAGCTGCGCTACGCGATCGCCAAGGCGAGGCGGGCGCGGGCGCTGTCGCCGCAGACGATCTGCATGTTTACGATCCCGATCGACAACGGCGACGATGGCGACCTGTCGGCGCATCTCCGGCCCAACGACGACCTCAACGACGTACCGTCCAACGAGACGACGGCAGCGGCTTCGCACGGCTCTGGCACCGGGCGCGCAGCTTCGATGCTGCAGCACCTCGGGCGTGGTGCAAGCTTGACGGCCGGCGGGAGCGGCGACAGACGGCAGCGCGAGGCCGAGAGTCTGATTGGGCAGCTGGGCGAGGACGGTATGGGCGATGATGACGACGGGTTCGCAGACGGCCTCGGTCGTCCCGACGACGGCCTGGGCGAGGCCAGCGGAGGCGTCGATGGCGAGGGCGACGAGGATGTGATTGAGCTGGCCGGTTGGATCGACCAGACGCCGCTCATCGTCCAGCCGGCCATGGCTCTCGAGGTGGTCATGGGTGAGTGCACGCCGCGTAGGCAGGCTCCTTGCATGCTCTGCCTCTGGCTGACCGGCTCTGGCGTGCTCTCTCTCTCTCTCTCTCTCTCTCTCCCTCTTGCTTCTTCGCGCGCGTCGTTCTTTGATTCGCAGATCTTTTCAAGAAACTCGGACCCCGCGTCATCCTCGTCGCGAGGTTTGGCCGACTGTCGGGCCTGGTGACGGTCAAGGACGTGCTCAAGAAGATTGCGGCTCAGGAAAAGGCGGAAGCCAACGCCGCTGCCGCCGCCGCAGCCGCCGCCGCCCAGCGTCTGCCTTCGACGAGCTCGGGGCACGGCATGGGGCTCGCGCAGCACGACGCCGTTCCCAGCGGCGAGCTCGAGGCTCTGCTCAACGAGGCGTCGGAATGGGTGCGGGCAAAGTACGAGGCGGTACGACCTCACATCGACCCCGTCCTGAGTCGCCTCGGTCTCAGCGGCGTTTCGAGACGAAGCGGCAGCGGCGGGGGGAGAGGGCCGAGCGGGAGGGCGAGGTATACCGAGCTGGGCGGGGAAGACACCGAAGAGAGCGGCATCGCGCTCGACTCGACGCGGTCGTCGGTCGATGGTGCGGCCAGCCGGGATGCGCCGCGCAGGGGAAGGGACGGGGGGGCGCGCGGCGACGCAAAGGACGACGACGAGCAGGCTCAATTCGTCCTCGGCGATGAGTGACCGACTCGGCCTTTCTCTCTCTCTCGCCTCCTCTCTCTATCTGCTGTGCGATCAGCACTTGCTGTATCACTACAAGGACGCTTGGCATTGCCGAGGCACCGAGGCGGTCTCGTTCAGGCGGATCCGAAGCGGACTTTGCATTCGGACGACAAGCAGCTGCCAGCCAGGCGTTACAGGATCCGCTTCCGCGCGTGCGAAGGCGGGCGAACGGGCGGGACCTGCCCACATCCAGCTCGACCGCTGCCGAACGAGCATGTCTGGCGGGCGGACGAGTACTTCAGCGCAGCTTCTTGTCCTCAAAGAAGCCCTGTCGCCGCAGAATTGGGGTTGAGGGCGGAGCAGGAGATAGGAATACAGCCAAGGTGTCAGCGACCGCACGGCATCTCTCGCCCGTTGGGTCCATGGTAGCAGGACCGCGCCTGGGGACTGAGCAGCGTTCGCACTCACCCTGAGATGCCTGAGCTGCCAGACGCAGGTGCCGAGGAGGGTGATGAGCTGGAGGCTGCTCCACCAGATGGCTTTGGAGTTGGTGTCCTCGCTGAGGTTCCTGAACTCGGCCTCGCGCTCGCGCTGGTACTGCTGCTCGCGGCGGATGTCGCGCAGCTTGGCGTTGAGCTCGCGCACGCGGCTGCTGAGGTCCTGGACGTGGCTGCGGTCGCGCACCGAGTTGTCGGGCTTGGCATCGCCAATGATGATGTCGAGGTGCATCCGCACCGACGTGTTGGGGTGCGGCCGCCCGTCAAAGACGGGCGTCATGCAGATCCGGTGGTCGCCCGCCTCGTGCGACGTAAAGGCAAACTTGCCCTCTGGAGGTCCCCGCGTCGAAGTCACAATGTGGTCGTCTTTCACTTCCTGTTGGGTTGGTCGTCATGGTCGGAACTGAGTGGTCAGTGATCTGTACAGTGAAGTAAAGACGAAGGAACAGGAGCGCGAACGCACCTTGACGCTGATCTGGATGCCCAAGTCGTCCTTGATGACGAACCGCTGGAGGTCCTTGTCCCACTCCTCGGCCATGTAGTGTCCGACGACGACGGTGTCGTTGGGCAGTTCCTCGAAGAAGCATTTCGTCGTTCCCTCGTCGACATAGAAGTAGAGCTGCAGTCGAACGCAAGATGTGCGGTGCCGTGGCGGCGGGAAACATGGTCAGTCGACTCGATCCTTCGTCGGTCGGTGAGACGGCAGGGCCTGGCTACTCACTGCTTGGGCCGTGGCGAAGAAGGCCAGCGCCGCGAGGGCCAGCAGGTGTAGAGACTTGGCGAGCATGGCACCCGTTGCTAGGTTGTCGGGACGGTGGTGGTCGTCGAGGTCGAGGTCGAGGTCGAGGTCGTTAGGTGGGCGTGGCGGGTCGAGAGCAGGAAGCTAGGCAGGCGAGCCGGCCAGGTAGAGAGAGGTTGGACCTGCAGCCCGAGAGGCGCCCTGTGCGCCCACTTGTCTGGATGCCAGCTTGGCAGACTTCGAACACACTTCGGAGCCGAGAATTCGGGGTCTTGGCGTGGCCGCTGCCCTGGCCTGCTGGTTCGCACCCGCACCTCCGACCGCCATCCGCCGGCGGCCGCGTCCCATTTGCTTGCTCGCTGGATGGCTCGAGCTGGGGGCTTGGCAGCTAACTACCTCGAGCATGCCTGGCTGGCATCATCGCTGTCCATCGTCCATCAAGAGTATCCTCGCTCGCCCAGACAGACGGACAGACCACACCAAGGTGGCGGGCCGACATCGCTGGCTGACCTGGCCTGCCAGGCCTGGCGGGTCATTTTCGCCTCGAATAAAGGGGCCAAAAATCTATGGCTGCCGTCGTCCAGCCTGGCCTGGTCCCCACTTGGCGCAGGACGCCTTCCATGACCGACGCCAATATCTTTCGCTCGCTCGCTCGCTCGCTCACGCTCCTCGCCTTGCGGTAGAGGGTGCTGCTACCAACAGGATGTCGGCACCGAGACGACCAGGAGCGACGGCACCTTTGCTGCCGCCGGTACTGTAACTACCGCCACTACTACAAGGTTCGTCCACCTGCGCTGAAGCGAACCGGCGGCTGGACCTGGCCGAACAGACCACGCACACGATCTCGAGGAGAGCCTGTAGCGTGGCGCCGGCCGCAGACGGTCGATGGCACATGTTCCGGAGCCTCCTCGGCACCAGAAGCGACGCCAGCTGCTGCCGCGGGACCCGTCGCCTTGGTCAAGGACCGATGGCTGGCAAGGACAGACGCTTCTGGCGAGGCATCATCGCGCATCAGGCCACGGGTCTACACGTCCATCCGATGCTGCCGCTTCCGGCAACGATCTCGGCCGCCAGGTCGCGTCTCACGCGCTTCGCTGTCTCTCTATCTGTTGCCTGCGCCCCAGATCGGAAGGAACTCCGCCAGGAGCCACGCCGCCGTCCGAGCAAGAGCACGAGTGCTTATCCCGCACTCCCACGCCCCACGATGCTTCGTCACGTCGTTCGAGGGATCGTCATTCGAACGAACGCGTATGTACGGTCGACATCGGCAGTTGTCCAGACAAGCCGTCGGCCGGCAGCGAGATCGGGCTGGGCAAGCAGGACCGCAGCACATCAGATGCTCCACGCTGCCCCGCGCAGCTCGCCGTCATTCCGTCTCGTCGCAGCGGCGCGGTCGCAAAGCCTGGTCACGGGCGCAGGTCACCTACGTTTTGGAGGCAAATGTGGGCCCCAGGTGGCGAGCCGGGCGGACGAAACAAGGCAAGACGCGGCGTACCTTGGCCATCAAAGGACGGTCACGTTCTTCAGCACACCGAGTGGGCATCCACCGTCGCCGTCGCCATGTTTGTGCCGAAACCGGCGACCGACTGCTCCAGGATATCGAGCTGAGACAGGTCGATGGACGAGCCGGGCCTTGAGCAGCTCCCCTGATCCTGAGCTGCTTAGAGTACCGTGCTCCGCCGCAGCGACCCGGCTCGCTGCATTTGACTGGACGCTGATCTAGCCTCACCCACCCCTTTCGGCAGGATCGCAACCGCTGGCCAGCGGCAAGTCGGGGGCGGTGGCGTCCATTCCAAAGGACGAGACACGTCGCTTCCGACGAGACCCACGGGTCTACCACCTGGTACGTTCCTTGACCGTCGGACCCTCAGCGTGATCCCAACTCCCTCGCCCCTGCTTTGGAAGCGTCTAGCTCCGTCGAGCAGGTCAGCAGTCCCGCCGAGCCGCCGGAAGAGCCTGCCTGGCCCTACGTCGCCTTCAACGTGGAAGTAGCCCTTCAAGTCAGGCGGCCGACATTACGCGCGGCCGCGCTCGGGGAAGAGCTGATCCGGCACATCGACCCATGGCTCGAAGTCTGGTATCGACGCCCTGCTGTGCCGAACACGGAGTGGGGCTGCCCACAGTACGGTAGTAATCCCAGCGACCATCTTGCGAGCGATGGGGACCACAAGGTCGCCTCGGCTTTCGTCTGTCAGCCCTCGGAGCTCCGAGCCGCTACACTGATCTTGGCACCCGAGCTGTCGCTGATCTCGGCCGCGAGGTCCTCTTCATCTCGCATCAAAGCGGGCGAAAGGATGAAAGACTCCGCGGCTATAGGAAGCTTCTGTAGCAATCAAACGACGGGAGGACGCGGTCGATATCGACAGCCTCACACGCGGTATGTCAACGAGGCCAAGTAAGTCGGGACAGAGGATGGCGGGCGGCGACGACGACGACGAACCGCCGGCATCAAAACAAGAAGCGGCGCGGGCCTGGGCGGGCAGAGGCAACAGATGACGAAGACGGGGACGGGCCATGAGGTCTTGGAGCAGCCTGGCGAGCCGGCTGACCACGTACTTCTCTCGCTCCGACCCGACTGCCAGACTCCGCGCGCTCCCCAAGGCGTGACGCCCTGATCAGGCCTGGCCTGTCTGCCACGCCTTGCTCGCCCTCCTGGGCGCCCGCGGATCGGCCTGGGTTTCAGACCCCGCCAAACGGCGATCTGCAGATGGACAAAGAGCCCGCGATGCGTCGGTCTTCTAACCCGACGCCGGCAGACCGAGGTTCGGTGCTCGCCACTCTTTGATGGTCCCGCTCACGCTTGCTCGCCACCAAGCAAGTCCACACGGGAAGACAACGCCGCGCAGGCATGTTATGGCTCGGGATCCATCAGAGCACACCGGACGTATCAGCCTGCCAGCCCAGCGCAGCTCAAAACGCCATCTTCGCCAGGCTCGGGGCGAAGAGGCAGAGATAGACAAGCTTGAGTCGAGAGCTCTGTGCCTGTGGCCTATTGTCCCCGTAGCCCATCCGGCCGCCTGGCTCCGTCTACAGTAGTTAGCGCGAGGTACGTACGTACGCTGGAGAGGGCCCCGCGGTGCGCACTCCAGATTGCTAGGCCTGGTCTGGCCTCACAGCGACGGCTACGGCAGCGCTGAACACAAAGCGAGGAACACGCACCCACTCGGAACAGGCGGGCGCGCACCGCGCACCGCGCACCATGTCTAGCAACGTCGCAACCGGCCTTCGCCTGCGGTCGGGCGCGCCGCTGCCGTGGCACGCACGGCAATTTCGTTCCGGATGGGCGGACGAAGCTCGAGGCAGACGGCGAAGGCCTGGTTCGGAATCAGCGGAAGAGTGCCAATCCTCGCAGGCAACGCAGCAGGCAGGCTCTGCGGAGGAGAGCTTTCGTTGATCGTACAATGATAATCGTGCTCCTGGGCGTGTTCCGATGGCGCTGATGATGGCGGCATCCTTACCGGTAGGGAGGTCGTACTGCGCCGCCCTTACCCTTTGGTGGCGCAAGCAAGCTCACAACCCACCAGCTCAGCAGCGCGCGCTGCCAGCCTCCTCCCCGGCACCGCCATCATCTTCGAGAAGGACCCCGCCTGGCCTTTTCTCGCGTGGGTCGGCTGCGTCCGAACGTCCGGGGTACGTTTTACGAGGCGAGAGCGCGAGGCGAGGTCGAGCGACGATCGAGGGCAACGTCTATACGGCGGCGAGCGGGGCGGCGTGCTGAGCACCTGCTCCAGCTTCCTCCTTAGTTCTGTAGCATCGCGTTTCTTTCTTGGGCCTCTCGATTTGCATTTCATTGCTCTCGCCACATTAGGCCCCCTGTGAACTTTGTCGACACGAGACAGGAGATGTAGCATCGACGTTGCACCGTCGCCTCTCTCCCCCGCGCGGCGCCCGAAACCCTCGGTTCTGAGCGTCGCGTCGCTTGGCGCCGCCTGCACCGCCACGAGCTGCATTTCCGGCGCCTTCCTCGCCGCAGTTGTCGCCATCGTCGTCGATCGGGGCGAGGAGTGGATGCCGCGGCGGCGAATGGCCCAGGTATGCGGTCACACTCCTGCTCCCTCGACGGCCAGGCAGGAGGTCGAGCCGTGGCCGTGATCTTGCGATGTGAGTGCGGCGAAGACGGCAGACAGTTCCGCAAGCAAGCAGACCAGGCAAAGGTCGCGGGCCGAAATCGTGCCTCTCGCCGAGCCTGCCATACACCCCAGCCCGGGCGTAAGGCTGGCGTCGACACGATCCTGCCTCGGCCAACACCGTCCTGCTGGTCGGCTGCCCTTGGCCTGCCGATTCGTCTTCTGCCCTCGATGGGTAGGTGCGGCCGTGCGTCTGCTTCTCGAGCGCTAACGACCTGGCTGCTTGCTGGTGCGCTCTCACACGACTCTCTAGCGTTGGATTGCGATGGCGATGGCCAACAGGCTAGAGCCAACGGGCGGAGCTACAGACTCTCTGGCGGCGCTGGCGGGTGCAATTTGAAGATCGTTGCAGCACGCCGGCCTGAACCCTGGCTGGCAAAACGTTGCCCTGCTTCGCCCTGCCTGCCCTGGCTTGCTTTCTCCGGCCGCCAAAGTTTCGGGCCAAGAAAACAAGAAAGAGGCCGGCACATCGGCGTCAGCACGCGGGCACGCACCGCACTGCAACGCATCGCGGGCGATGGGCCCCCAGTCGAGATCAGAGGCAGGCCGGGCAGCATGACATGTGGGTTGAACGGAGTCGAAGCCAGCAAGCAAGGCTGCACGCCGTCCGGCCTACGCCTCCGGCCCTCTGGCTGGGGGGCCTCGCTCGATGGCGGCGGCGGCGATGGTAGTGCCGACGACCGCTGTGGGGTCAGCGCCAGCTAGTCTGGGCCGGCCTGGCCAGGCCCCGCACAGCCTGCCAACCTGACGGACGAGCCGATGAGGGCGATGGGTTCGGCTGCCGCTGCCGTCTCGGTGCGGGGCGGGGCGCAAGGCAAGCGAAAGGAGGAAGAGGCCCAACCCAGGCTAGGCTCTGCCCGCCAGGCAGGCAGCCAGCAGGAGGCAGGGCAGGCCAAGTTCAGCAGGCTAGGCAAGCCGCCGCTCGGCTTGCCGAGTGCGTCTCTGGCTTTCGTGCCCCTTCCAGCCGCACCGCCCGCCCGCCCGCCCGGCCGGCCGGCCGGCCGCCGCCGCTGCTCGGGGCCTGGCTGTCCATCCCAAAAAGGGGGTTTGCGGCCACACAGTCCCGCCGCGCCACCAGAACCCTGGCCAGCAAGGCAGGGCATGGCAAGGCAGGGCATGGCGAGGCAGGCAGGAAGGGGACCGGCCGCTCCGCTCGCCCAGCATGGCTCGATCCGAACGAAAAGGCGAAATCGGATTTCATCATCCTGCCTGTCGGGCCATCGACTTGCCATATGCATGAGAGCCTGCCGGCCTACTGTTGTGTAGCTGGGCGGACACTTCACAACCTGACCTAGAGCCTGTTCTCTGGAGAGAGTCAAAGACAGAGAGAAGAGAAAGACAGGAGAGAGGCAGCGCAGGCAGGCAACCAACCCCCCATCCCACCAAGCAACCGCCACCAGAGGGCACGCGCACCAGCTCGATTGACAGCGCCTGACCCCTCCTACTGTAGACGCCGTCCGTCTTCCTGCCTGCTCCATCGCCATCGTCGAGCAGCGCCCCACCTCTTCTCGGTCGACCATCACCACCAACCACGCCTAGCGCCGCCGCTCTCCTTTCCCCCTCTGCAGCCGCCTGCCAGTCGACATAGCCACGCCGCTTTGTCGTAGGTCTGGCTCCGCCCGCTCGCCGCCTCGACAACCGCTACGCCCGCACGCTGGCATCATCAGCTTGCCTGCCTGCCTGCCTGCCTGCCTCACCTCCCCCTGGGCCCGGCATCTCGGCTTCCGTCTCTGCGCCCCGACCTCAACCTTCCCTTCCCTGACGACCACGTACCGCTCGACCCTCGTCACCACCTCTCCTGCATCGGCATCGGCTCCACCATCGACAACCTCGCCGTCATCTCTCCTCCGTCGAGCTTGCAGCCAAACTACCTTTGGCTCGCCCGTATCCGTGTCGCCCTCTCTAGCCCCATCCACCGCACCGCACAAAGGCCCAACGCCACCGCCAGCGCCAGCGCCTTCGCCCATACATCTTCGCCGTCGCTGCCGTCCGTTATACGACCTGCTATCGTCCAAACGCCGCTCGTCTCCCCTCTAGTCGCCAGGAAGCCATCCCACGCCGTGGTCCACGACAGCGCACTCGCGGCACCACCCAGCAGCACTTTGAGCGGGCAAAGCTCAGCGGTCAAGAGCCAGAGCGAACCTTCTAGGCCGCGCTCCCGCCCCGAGACGCCCCGAACTCAGCTTCAGCATCGAGGCTCGTTTCGCCCCTTCCAGCTGCACAAGCCCACGCCGCCGCCGCCGCTCCTGCGCCTGATCTTGCCCTGCCATTTGGCCTCGCCCTTATTCACCAGCGACCACCACCATCATCAGACCCATTCTTGGCCCTGCTTGTCGGCCTGAGCCAGACTTGACAACGTCTCCCCCCCGTAAAAATCGATCCCCTTCAGCCGCGCCTGATGCTTTGACAGCTCAGCACCCATCAGCACCCAATCTATACCAGCGACACCGCTCCAGCTCTCGCGCAACGTTTCTGCTAGATTGTAGCCGACGTGCGCTGCTCCCCTTCAGACCACCCTTCAACCCACCACTGCGAGCCTGGCTGCTTCTGCGCGGCCGTGCATTTCGGAGCCCTGGACAGGCCTTCTCGCCTTTTCTCCGTCTAGAGATCCCTGCGACCACATCCGCCATCATCGCCACCATGGCCCGAACGACACAGGCGCCAAGGTTGGCATGTGCCGTGCTGCTGCTGGCCGCCACGGCCGGTGTGTCGGCATTACCAACGACAGACGCGGAAGGAGGCACACACTGGATCCAGAAGCGGGCCATCATGCGCGGCAAGGACTTCGTACCGCTCGGCAAGACCAACATCCCCCTCACGCCTCTGCTCCTCATCTTTTGCGCGCTCGGCTTCTCGGTGCTGGCGCTGCTGTACGCTCTCATCAACCTCTTTTGCACCAGCCGCCTCTCGAGATCCAGCCGGCAGATCAATGAGGAGAGGTCCCGAGCAAAGCAAGACCTGCGCGTCCGTGGCGCTTCCCGCTCTGCACTCAGCCCTGGAGGCTCGCCAACGCCAGGCTCGAGCAGCAGTCTCGATTCGGCGGGCCGTAAGCTGCCGCCCAACAAGGTGCCCAAGCGGGTCGGCGGCGGGTCGGTACTGCCGCGAATCGGCGGCCTGGATAGGAGGCAAAGCCGCGGCTACCGTGGCACGTCATTCTCGCTCGCAGACGCAGGCAAGAGGAGCAGCAAAGCCAAGGTCGGCACGCTCGGCCTGCCGGTGCTGGCTACGGACGGGCTGTCGAGCGGATCCTCGTTCCAGATCAGCCCCAACGACCTTGAGACGGGCGAAGCTTCGCGATCGCCACTCTCCATAGTCGCGGGAAAGCGGGCCAGCTCGCTCGCTGTCCAGGGTCGCGGACTGTCAAACGGCAGCAGCGTGAGCGGCAGCAGCGGAGCCAGCAGCAGTACCGGCGTCGCGGGCGGCAGCGGCAGCGGCGCCGTCGTCGGTGGGCGGCCTCCTGGTTTCGGGACACGGCACATCTACCGCACCAGCAGCTCGGTCGGGCTGGGCGCCGACCTGTTCAAGTCGAGGAACAGCGTTATCGGCAGCATACCGGTCAATCCGAGCGCCATGGACAGAACCTACGCCACCGCCGAGTACGGCCACCCGCTCGACCACTCGCATGACCTGCGCAGGCACATCACCGACCCTACCGGCGTGCCGCTGTCGAACAGCAGGCGCAACTCTTCGTACTCGCTTTACGACAACACGAGCAGCGAGGCGCACAGCTTCAACGACAGCATGGCCAACAGCCGCATGGGCTCCTTCAGCCTCGCCACGTCGAAGCCGCTGCAGCCGCTCAGCTCGCCGCAGTTTGGCCACGGCTCGATGGGCTCGCTGGCCGGCCAGCTCGGCAGCGGCGCCTCGTCACCTCGACAGACGGGCTACGCCACTCCCATCGGCGGTCCCTCGTCTGCGATGGGCGTCTCCGACAGCAGCTACATGCCGCGCAACAAGTCGTACGACAGCGACGAGGGCGATGCCATCACGGCACAGAGCAGACTGCTGTCGTCGTCGGGCAAAACGTACAAGTCGCCGGCGCGCATCTAAAGGGGAAGGATCCCTGGCAGTCCAAGATCACTGCCTCGCCTCGCCCGCTCCGCTGCAGCATCGATCCGCCCGAAGGCCAACCACAACCCTTGTGTCTCTGCATAGTCTCTAGACCGGCGCGGCCGCTGAGTCCGCCAAGCAAACATGGGCGCGCGAGCACGCCCGTGCCGAGCTCCCTCCCCAGCACCCGTACACACACACGCACACGCACATGGACACTCTGCCTCGCATCGTTTCTTCTCACACCGCGCGTTTAGATGGGTCTCTGCCGATCCTCGATCTCATGCCTGCGCCCTCCTCAACCGCCGCCGCCTCCTTCTCACACGCGGTGGGGCCCAGCAAAAGCGCATGCCTGTACCTAGCCATTGCTGCGTTTTCTTCCGCACCTGCCGACCCAATCACAAGAGAGCCAAACGTCACGGGCTATGTTCACCGCTGCCGCCACGTTGTGCTGTTGTGCGATTCCGTGTGGTGTCGCCTGCTGCTGGTCGCGACCTCGTCTCCACCGTCTGGCTCTGCAGAGGGGCCAGCCGACGCGGGATGGCTCACTGACCCGCGGCCGACGAGTTGCGGTGCTGCCTCGCCAGGTCGCGGATCTGGTCGGTGATCTTTTGAAAGATGGGGAACGTCTGGCTGTCGCGGTACCTCTGTATCGTGGTGCGGCTGAGGATGGTGCCCGCTGGGGTGGCCGAGTCGTCGTGTTGACCGGTCGATGATGCCGCTGCCGATGCCGATGGTGCTGCCGCTGCCGCTGACGCTGGTACCGGTGCTGATGCTGGTGCTGGTGCTGCTGCGGCTGCTGATGCTGGTGCCGAGCTCGTCGCGGCGGTCTCATGTGCGTCGAGGGGCTGGTTGATGATTTCCGCCGCGGCCGAGGCGTCGCTGCCGTTCTGGGTCTGCACCTTGGCCTGGGCCTCTTCCTTTGCGTCGTCGAGCACCCTGACCAGGCCCGGGTCGATGGGGATGCGACCGAGAAAGTGGATGCGCTCCCTCTGCGCCAGGGCCTCTCCTCCGCCTTTGCCCCAGACGTTTGTGCACTCCTCGCAGTGCGGGCAGACGTACCCGCTCATGTTTTCAATGAGGCCGAGGAGGGGCAGGTTGGTCTTGCGCGTAAAGTCGAGGGAGCGGAGGTTGTCGGCGAGCGACACGGCCTGCGGGGTGGTGACCATGACGGCGGAGGGCTGGAAGGTGCGGAGGTACTCGAGGATCGAGATGTGCTCGTCGGAGGTGCCCGGGGGCGTGTCGATGACGAGGTAGTCGAGCGGGCCCCACCGCACGTCGCCGAGAAACTGCTTGATCATGGCATTCTTTTTGGGGCCGCGCCAGACGACCGAGTCGTTCTTGGAGCGGAGGAGGAAGCCGACCGACATGACGGCGAGCGACTGGGACGCGTCGGTGTAGACGGGGACCCAGCCGTCGGACGACTGCTTGACCGTCTGGCCATCGAGGCCGAGCATGCGCGGTATCGAGGGACCCGTCAGGTCGATGTCGAGGATGCCCACCCTCGGCGTGCGCGGCGTTGAGGAGGGAGTGGGAGATGAGGAGGAGGGTGAGGAGGACGACGAGGGTCCGGTGGTGGGACCATCGTCGTCGGTGATGGGCGTCGAGGAGAGAGAGAGGGCGAGCTGGGCCGAGACTGAAGACTTGCCGACGCCCCCTTTGCCCGAGAGGACGAGGATGATGTTGCGCACCTGCGAGAGGCGGCGGACGATGCTTGGATCCGCGCCGAGGTGCGAGGCCGAAGCCGATACGCCCGCGGTGGCAGCTCCGGGGGTCGAAGGGCTGGCCGCCATGCTGGCAAAGGAAAAGGGGGGGGGGGGGGGCGTGGGCGGACGTCCAGTGCGGGCGACGACGGGTCAGACCAAAGGGATGCAGAGGTGCGTGCTCGGTGATCGACTAGAATGTGACGATGTCGGTGAGAAAAGGGAGGGTGTTCACTATATGGACCTTGTGATGGCGATGGTGGCGGGGGGTGGGCGGGCTACTCTAGAGCGAGGGTCGAGAGGTGAATGGGATAGATCGAGAGTCAGGAAGAAGGGGGGCAACCAATCTAATGTGGAGCTGGGAAGCGCCCCAACCTCGGACTTAGGCAGCGGCGCCGTTGCCTTTCGTTGCCTTTGCCTCGACGATGCGACCGACAACTCAGCCGAAGCTGTCAAACCGACCGCGGCGCGGCGCGGCTGGCGCTCCATACCATGGTGCGCTCGCCCCTGCCTCCCCCATGGAAGACTTGGCATGCTGGCGTGCCTGTGGAAGCGCCCACCAAGCCTACCAGTAGCGGTATCCTGTAGCCTCACCGGTCAAGCGTATTGTCCGCCGCCTTCCCAGCTTCCCCGACCCGCACTTAGCCGTCTAGGCTGGACGTATGTAGTTGGGACCGACGCGTCGGTCCACCGCCTTGACCTCACATCGCCCCTGCCCCGACTTTGCCAGCACACCAGACGCCCTGATGGCTTCGCCGGCCCGCCAGACGTCCATCGAGCTCGTGCCTACCCGACTCAGGGAAGCTCGAGCTTGTGCAGACAAACAGCTTGGCCTCCCTGCGGACCAACGGCTGCCCGTGACAAAGAAATGGTACGGGCATGGGGCGTCGACTGGCGCCAAGGATGGGCCTGGCTTGACCTGCGGCGCCACCGGAGAATACTGTACATACCTGGCGCTACTCCTACAAGGCGCCAGTGGCACCTTTTGCCATCCCATAGGCAGCAGTCGCGGGCCATCGTCCTACAGGCGCTTGCCCCCCCTTGGTCGGCGGCACGTTCGCCCTAGCTCCATTTTGACTGGGCGTACGAGGGCCCGACCATCGCCTCGCTCGGGGTCGCCCGCCGCCGAGTGAGTGTATCGGAACAATATCGACGACTTGACGATGGTCTGCCCCTCTCTCGCTGCCTCTTCTCTGACCTTCCGGACCCCTGGTCCAATGCCGCCACTGTACCAAGGTTTGACCGATGTGACGATTCCGCCCTGGCCGCGACCGAGGGCGACCTGCTGCCGACCCTCTTGCGCTAGTGCTGCTACGAGGGGGGGCCTAGCGGTGGTGCGCCAGCAACGCAGCTTGGTGCTCTGTGGCGGCGCTGGCTACAGGCTGCCCAGCGACTCTGCTGGAAGCGGCCTAGGACAGCGAGCCGCCTCCCGCTGTAGAGTGAGGGGGAGGGCCACGGCTGCTCGTTGCAACCTCGAGTGTCTGCCCAGCGATGTCAAGGCGACGATGGGGCCAGGACGGAGAGGTATATGAAGGGCGAGGCCTGGAACCATTTCCCTCCCTCTCTCATCATCATCCAACCAACTCATCTCTCACAGCCTCTATCAGCTACAGCACCAGCACCAAGCTCCAAAGCCCCAAAGCCCAAAGCCCAAAGCCCAAAGCCAAACCAACAACCCCAAGCCCAAACCTACAGCCCACCATGAAGTTCTTCATCACCCTCGCTGCCCTTGCCTGCCTCGTCAGCCTCGTCATTGCTGACATTGCCACCGTCCTCAGGTGAGTGTAGGAGCAAGGGCCCGCTTGCCTTTGGATCTGCGCAGCTCGCACCGGCAGATCTTCCGCTCACCCTCGTCCTCCCCTCTTTCCGCTCCATCTCTTTTCTCATCGACCCGCGCGACCGTGACGCGCCGCGCCGCGCCGTAGGGATGTCGACGATGTCAACGCCAAGCTGGCCGTCCTCAACAAGAGCCTGCAGTCTTCCGACGGCACCAACTACATTGCCGACCTGGCCGTGGGCGGCGACGTCGACAAGCTGGTCACGTCGCTCAACAAGGCCACCAAGGACATCGGCGCCATGCGCGTCGTCTCGGTCGCCCAGGCCGACCAGGTGCTCAGCAAGCTGCAGGTGTCCAAGAGGACGGCCACCATCGCCATCAACCGCCTGATCGCCATCAAGCCCAACTACCAGAAGGCCATGGTCCTCGGCCTTGTTCAGGGCCACGTCTCCAAGATGGCCACCGCCGTCAACACCTTTGCCAACGCCGCCGTTGCCAAGACGCCCGCCGCCAGGAAGGCCAAGGCTATTGCCCTCAAGAACGCCATCGTCGCCGACATCACCCGCGGCCAGAAGGCCTACGCCTGAGCGGCCCCTTTGCGGAGCGCACGGATCGCTTTGACGCACCAGACGTCTTCGCAGGAAGCCTGAAGCATCGTCGAAGCCGTCCGCTCTCATCCCGGCATCGCCGCAAACCAAGCCGAACCATCCCCAGACTCTTGACCCTTTGGCCCTTTCTGGCCTCGTCCCGTCCGCACCAGTTCCCCTCATTCCCACAACCTCGCCCCCCTCGCCCCCCTCTCCCATTCCCCAGTCGTCTCGTCCCCCATTCCCCTTCCCCACCACCGCCCCCTCCCTCGTCCTCTCGTACTGACATTGGCAATGGAAGCACGCGCACGATCCCCCCCACACTGCCCAGGTCGTGGCACTGTCTGACGGATCGAAGTATCGAGGTCGCGAAACGGCTTGCTCGGCCTCGGGCCCGGGGCGGGCCGAGCACGGGATCACAGGACGGGATCGTCGTAGCTGATGTCCTCGAGGTCGCCGCTGCCTCGGAAGTCTTGGGCGATGTCGGCCTGGTCGTGGAGGAGGTGGCGGTCGGTCTGCTTTCCGATCTCGGCGAGCTTGCGCCAGCGCGCCAGGTCGTGCGGGTTGCGCTTGTCGCCGTGCGCCTGCTCGGCCTCTTCCCAGTGGCCCTTTGAGAAGCCGAGCAGCGTCGTGATCTTCTTGTTGGGGATGTCGTACACGAGCGAGCAGATCGTCCCCGTCTCTGTCGGGTCGCAGGCGGGGCGGGCGAGAGGCGAGCGGAGGGTCGGCAGTGAGCGTGGATGCTGCGCGCGCCGGAACGGCAGCGGGTCGGTTCGGAGAGGTTCGTACACACCTTCGAGCCAGTTGCACTGCCACAGCTCGCCCGCACGGATGCACTGGTAGTCTGCCTTCTGGTAGTTGATACGGCCGGCCATGGGACCTGAAGCGCGGCGGCCCGAGCAACGCAACGAGGAACGAACGACCGCGCCCCCACTTGTCAGCGATCCGTTGGTCCCAACGTGGCGCACAGGCAGCTCTGATCTGCTCGCCCTCCGCTGGGCTCGGCTCGCCGCCTGCTCGCTCGCTCACCTCCGTGGATGTGGTAGACGATACGGTCGTGCGAGTGGAACCACATCTCGTACTTCCACTTCTCGTCTGCGCCCGTCTGCGGGTTCTTGGCGTTGTAGAAGTAGACGAGGTGTCGGTTGGCAATGTCGCGCTCGAACGCCTCCTTTGTCTGCTGGGATTCCTGTGGCCAGATCATCGTGTCGGTCGGTCGTGCTTATGTCCTTGTTTCAGTTTGACAGGGGATCGCTGTGCTGTGCTGTGCCGTTGGGTGGATTGATGAGCGGCGCACCAGGGAGACGAAGAAGTGCTCCCGATCTATATAGCTATTGGGGATCAAGCCCGCCCTTCCCGAGCTGGCCGCTAGGTGGGAGGTGCCCCATCGAGGCTGCATCCGTGTCCGTCCGTGTCCGTCCGTGAGACACGATGACGCCGGGTCTTCCGCTGGACCTTGGCTTGCCCTCAATCCGGGCACGAGCTAGGCCAGGCGAGACGAGACGATGACGCCTAGATGGCGAGAGGCTAGGGTGGGCAGGGTTCTCCTCTGCCGGCCCGCTTCTCCCCACCCCCTCGAAGCCGCCGCCGCCGGTCAATCTGCCTCACCTCGCCGCTGCAGGGGTCGGCCCGGCCTGGCCTGGCCTGGCAAGACGCCGACGAGTGGAGGCGGCAGCCCTTCGACAATCTCGGCCGGTACACTCGCCTCGGCCGTCAGCTCACACGTCCGAAACGCTCCATGGCTCCAGGCCGCTCGCTCAGTTACGCCGCAGCAATCGGTCATGCTCGGTCGATTGCAAGTAGAGCCGTGGCGCAGCAGCTCGCCAGCAACACGCCATCCCCCGTCTGCCGGTCTTCGCGCTGCCAAGCCGGATAACTGAGCATCCGAACCCGTACTTCGCCCAGCTACTGTCGACTTCACCTCATGCCGAAAAGGGAGCAAGCCGCGCCGAGGCCTTCTCGCTCTGCGTGCGCAGATCGTACTCGCCGTGCTGTGTGATGTAGCGTACCCAGGCTATTCCGGAGGCGAGCAAAGAAGGGTGGTAGGGAGAGAGGCAGGAAGGACATCAGCGCTGAGCCTCGAGCTGTGCCAGAGAGAACGCGCGAGGTCGAACGTACGCAGTGCCTGGTATCCGCTCTTCTCGACAATCTTGAGGTACCGCACCTGGATGCCCGAGACGGTAAAGTAGGGGATCTCGAACTTGACGCTGATCGGCGTCCGGCGGTCGAGCATCTCCTCTGCCGTGTCCGAAGGGGAAGCGGGGCGGCAGGGGTTTGGCAGCGCGAGATAGGGTTCAGCAACGAGGGTTCAGCAACGAGGGTTCAGCAACGAGGGTTCAGCAACGAGGGTTCAGCAACGAGGGACATCGCAAGGATCTCGTCTTTGCCAAAGCCAGCGACACTCACCGTTCTTGACGCTTGGCAGGCCAAAGTGCGCCCGCATGAGAAACTCCTTGCCTCCGCCCAGCTGCTTGATCTTCCAAACCATCGCCGACTTCTCCGGCGCATAGCTGACCGAGCCCGTCGCCGCCTGCAGGTGTCAGAGGCAGATAGCAATGGCGAGGAGCGTTCAGCCGTCAGCCCAGCTCGCGATATGCCTGTGGCATGCGGCACCACGCACGACCGCAGCTCGTGGCTGCTACTTACGCGGAACTTTGGCGTATCGGCGTCGTCGGGCACGGGAATGTGGATCTCGACGTTGTTGGCAGTCGAGCGTCGCTTGAACTGAGCCTTGACCTGTCGGTTTGGTCAGCGAAGAATGGCGTGGGTTCGCGTTGTGGTGTCAGCGATGGTTTGCTGGGAGCCTCGTAGCGGACTCTAGAGCATCTCGTTCATGGCGGGGCGCTCACCTTGACCATGAACTCTATTCTGCTGCCCTCGTGCCGCTCGATGATGGCCTCGGCCCAGATCAGCGGCTTGACTTGGGTGCTCAACCGGTAGCTCATCAGCTCAAACTCGCCGTCGGGCGGGATGAACGAGATGGTCCGGTCGTTTTCGAAGCGCGAGAGGCGGACACATTGGTGGAACTTGACGTCCTCCATCTCAATCGCCTTGCCCCTTGCCGCTGTGGAGTGCGCGCGCGAGGCAGGTCGGACGCGGATCAGTCGCTGAACCTGTTGAGGTCCTCGAAGGTCCAACTGGCTCGGCAGTCCACTCACCTCGCCCCGTGTTCTCGAACATGACCTTGTCGTTGAGGCCCAGCCGCAGCTCGGGCATTCCGCTGAGATAGCACTTCATCTTGATGGCGCCCAGGATCTCACTCCGGACGACGTTGCCGTTGGCGTTGACCAGCAGGTTGACGGACTCGACGACATCGAGGAAGACCTCGTTCTTGCGGTACCGGATGCCTTCGGATCGCCACGACACAGCGTTGGTGACGGCCATAGGTGGGCGGACCTGCACCTCGAGCTTGTGCGATTCTTGCGTGATGTATCTGGCGGTGACGGCAGCGGCAGCAGAGGTGAATACAGGTGGTGATCAAGGAGCGGTCAGTTGTGCGGGCCACCGACCTGCGCGCACACATGGCACCTCGACGAGAGCATGGCCGATAGATCGAGACTCACTCCTGCAGGATCTTGCTCTCGGTCGTCTGAGGATAGCCAAAGTCCATCATCTCGTCGAGGAGCTCGTAGATGATGACAAAGTTGTCGCGGATCGACTCCTCCTCGAGCTCCTTGAAGTACTCCTCGAGCACCGATGCGAGCTTGTGGAGGAAGATGAGCACCTCGGCGGCATTGCTGTTGCGCCGCGAGAGCGCCAAGAGGTAGAGATTGTTGTGCCTGATGAACATGTAGTTGACGCCCTCGGAGGTGAAGCAGGGGCTGATGGCGCTGCCGCCGGCCTCCTCCTCCATGTCGAGCAGCAGCGGCAGGAACTTTTCCACGGTCGACGGCGCCACATCGTCGCGATACGACCTCTGGATGAGGGACTTGCCCTTGATGTCAACGATGGCGATAAGGGACGTCATCTTGTGCGGCCACGCTGGTTCAGAGGCGGTGAGTGGAAAGGCGGGCTAGGAACCGCAAGTGATGTTGCGTCTGTGAAGAGGTGAGCGAGATGTCCAGCCGCGGCCTTCTCCGCAATGCGGCGCCTGTCGGTGTCGACCGGGTTGTCGGCGAGTTGGATGAGGTAGCGAGTGTGGTGCTGCCGGTTGCCGGAGGGGCCAGAGAGGTTGCGAGATAGCGAGCGAGAAGATGGTGAGCAGCTGCAAGAGGTCTGAGCGGCGATGCGCTTTCCGCCCGCACTCGGCCGCCGGTGCTTCTGTTGCTGTTGCTGTGGGCTTTGCGAGTTGGCTCGAGAGCCAGCAAGCTTCAGCCAGCGGGGCAGTCCAATCGGCCTGGCAACATTTCCCGATTCGGATACCTTCCAAAAATCGGGAGGGCAAAGATCCCCAGCCGGAACGACCACGGAGCCGAAGAAGGCATCTTGCCAGCTCCACCTCTATCCGTCCCGATGCTTTCCCTCGACTCTCCATCACCCATCGGCCTAGACGCCACAGCATCGCCGTCATCCCTGGGCTGTCTATCGCTCTGCTTTGTCCGCCACTCTGCCGCTCTGAAACGCACAGCGGCCTCACTTTCCAGGGCGTACCCGCGAGGCTAGGTCACGCACGCACTCACTGCTTGCGCACCGACTGGCGCGGCCTCAGTCCGTTGCCGCCGCCCTGGCCTGGTACGGTCATGAGTGGCAAGGGCTGCGCCTGTACGCCGCGCTCGTTGCTGGTCCCGGCTGGCGGCGTAAAGGTCCTTGATCCGAGCCTCCGAGTGAGCAGCGAAGAGCTGCTCAAACGCGATCGCGAGTGGCAGCAGCAGAGGCAGCTGGCCGAGACCACCTCCGCCAAGGTCGGTGTCACTGCGACCGAGCAACGAGGTCGACCAGCTCAGCCAGCATCCGACCAGTCTGGCCACGGCCTGCAACGGAGAAGCAAGCTGGCCTCCCTCAGATGGCCGTTCCGCAAGGCAGTGAAGTGAGGCTAGGGAGGAGTGGAGACGTTGACCACGCCAGCGACCGCCATACTGCGAGAAAGAGGCTGTGACCGCCGGCACTGCCCGTCGCGGTCGGCCGTCAAGACGGTCGCAAACGACCACCAGCGCAGCACCACCACTGAAGACCAAACTGGCACTGCACCTGTGCCGCACCGCGCACAGCTGCGGTCGGCGACGAGGGCCTACTACCGAGGGCATCCGAGGGGACGGGACCAAGGCAAACGACATCTGCAGCGTCCTTGCGCCAGGCCACTGCGCGCAAACGTCGTGCTCCGGCCGAGTGGCGAGTTCGCGTCTCGCGGTCGCCGCCTGCTCTCCATCGCTGTCGCTGCCGGCCCGGGCCGGCTATTCTCTGTACTGCTCTGAATGACTCCATCCGCGCGGAAATGGGAGACGGAGGTGCGGCTGTACTGGCCGGCCGCTGATGCCAGCTGCACGCCGGCGAGGGCGATCTGCTCGTCGGAAGATGCAATGGCTCGTTGACTGCGCTCTGCGAGGACTACTGACGCGGGCGGGGGAAAAAAAAATCACGGGAGAGTGAAATCTGCCATGGCGGATCAAAACGAGGTGAACGTGATTTTTTTCCCCCCTTGCCCCGCAGGCTGGCTCGCTGGTTGTGATCCGACGCTCTCCCGTTATTTTTTTCTCAACGCGTGGCGGCGACCTGCCTGCCTGCATTTTCCTTTTTCGCCTGTGGGCCCTACCCGCGCCTCTCTTCTGGCGCGAGCTGGCGAGGAGCGAGCGTCGAGCGTCCCTTCGCTACCTGGGTGCATCGACGATCCCATCCGGCCAGTCCCCGTACCGTTTGCCATCGTTGCACCGATCCCTGCTGCTGTCTTTCGCCGCCGCCTTTCTGTCTGTTAGCGTACAGGAGCGAGGCCAGGCCGACGGGCGGGAGAGATGGAGCTGGAGCTGGAGCGCGACGGGCGGCCATCTCGAGCCAAGCAGGCAGGCAGGCAGCCAGGGCGGGGGAGGTCGCGAGCACGAGGCAGGCCTCGAGCAGGCCAGGCTCAAGGCAGACGGGCGCAGGGCGGTTGGGTGGGGCACGCCGGGGTCACGTCAAAAAACGGGTCGGCTGCAGGTGGAGGCATCCCCTCGACTGCGCCTGGGCCAACTCAACGGGGCTCAGCTTGGTTGGGCTGGGCTGGGCCGTCGTCGTCGGCGGCCGGGAGTCTCGTCGCCGCCTCTCCAGCCTGCTGCCACTCGCGATGCCCCTCGCAACCTCCGTTCCAGGGCAGAGGTGGCAGCTGACGAGGACATGCTGACCACGCTCTCTCGATTCAACAGGCACGGCAACGGAAGAGCAGATGCCATCTCGCTGCTGCGGTCGCTTCATAGCCCGACCTCGCCCCTTTAGTGGTGGTCGCGACGAGGGAGAATCCGAACTGGAGGCTTCCTATTCCCTGACTCGACACCGGAACGACGCGCGATGGATGCGACGACGACGTGGTCATGATGGTGGTGAAGAGGCAAGGTTCAACAAGGCCCGAGACCATTGACCCCAGATTCGAGATAGAATGCCACGCAGGCAGCAGTCGGCCGAGGCCCCTGCCAACGCCGCGCTCAACTGGGTCAAAGGGGCAAAGCCGGGACGAGGGGACCCTGGAAAATCGACGGCGTGAATTAGAGATGCTCACACCCTGCGGCTGGGCGGCGGCCGTGTTTGGAGGCTATGCCGGCAAAGAGCAAAGGGGCCAGCAGGCTAGGACGACGAAGGCAGCGTCTCGTTGCGGCGGGAGGAGAGACGAGAGCCTCCGGGTGGAAAGGCAGAGGCGGGCAACCAACGACGAGACGGCGTGCAAGCAGCAGCAGCAACACCCACGCACGCAGGGCCTGCCAGCCAAGAGGGCAGCCGGTTTCCATGCAGGCGCGCGCCTTTTTCGGGCAGCAGAGGACAGAGGGGGCGGCCAGCCAGACAGCCCGGGTTGGGCCAGGCCGAGCAGGCAGGGCGGGCGAGCCCAGCCTCGCGTCCAAAAGGAGAGGGCGTCCAGCCCTCCTTGCCCTCATCTGACTTCTCCTCCCCCCTTTTCCCTCTCTTTCTCCTTCCCTTCCCACCATCACCACCACCTCCGACCATCGACCTCGCCAAGTCTCACGTTAGCAACACCTTCAAGCTTCGACACCATACCCACAGCCTCCAACCAGACCCACCACCAACCCAACCCAGCCCACCAAGCAAACATGTCCGCCGCCACCGCCACCAAGCCCGCCGCCAAGAAGGCCGCCCCCAAGAAGGCCGCGTCCGGCACCTCGCTCACCTACGAGGTAAGTACTCGGCCACACACTCGACAGACTCGCGTCGATCGCGTCGACCATCCCATCGCTCCCGTCTGCCATCGACAGCGGGCGCGCTGGGGCCCACCACCGTCGACGAGGCGGTGGATGGAGAAAAATGAAGACGCGCGTCTCAGGGGCAGGGCAGCTCGGCCCAGAGCCTCTGGCGCGACGCGATTGGCGGATGGTATCGGTGTCGGTGGCGAACCTTTCGTCGACCACCCCATCCACCCGCCAATCCATCCATCCGTCCACTCGGTCGACACCATCGGCCTCGCTCTGGTCGTCGTGCAGCGCGCTGACGCGTTTTGCCCGCCGTCGCGATCCATGCTCCCCCCCTCCCGATTTCTTATCTCAGGCCATGATCAAGGCTGCCATCGCCGCCCACCCCACCGACGCCCGCACCGGCATCAGCCGATCGACGATCAAGAAGTACCTGCAGTCGCACTACCCCGAGACCGCCAAGCTCAGCGAGGCCTCGTTCAACACCCGCGTCAACCAGACCATCACGCGCGGCGCCGAGAAGAAGACCTTCGTCCTGCCCAAGGGCCCCAGCGGCAAGGTCAAGCTCGCCCCCAAGGAGAAGGCCGCCGCTGAGAAGAAGGTCAAGACTCCCGCTGCCGACAAGAAGCCCGCCGCCGCTGCTGCCAAGAAGCCTGCCGCCAAGAAGGTGAGTGTCCTCCGTCGGCGTCATCATCAGCGCTCCTCCACCGTCACCGCCGCCGCCACCCTGCATCCGCCCGATCCAATCGGGCGCGGAGACGCGACAAGATCGTTGTGGCCTCTACTGTCTCTCATTTCAGCGATGCACATATGCTCTCGCGATCATTCATGAGGCCCTCGCTCGCCGTCGACACCATCTCACTTCGTCGTGCTCGCCACCATCGAGAAAAACACGGCTGGTCGGCGACGCGTCCCTCTCCGACGCGTCGACCTCAGCGCTTCCGACGCTGCCGCCCCTTGCAATCCGGCACCGTTGACGCGATCATTCACCGTGGAGAAACAGCCAACTGACCACCGTCGCTCTTTCGTCGCCTCCGTCGTCACCCTCGGCTGCTACAGCCCGCTGCCAAGAAGACCGCCGCTGCCGGCACCAAGAAGGCTGCCTCTACAACTGCCACCAAGGCCAAGAAGCCCGCGGCGAAGGCGCCTGCCAAGAAGGTGAGTTGACGCTGTCGTTCTTGGCACATCGAGGCTCCCGTTCCGTGAAGCGAGCAGCGCTTGCTTTGCCCTGCAGACTCTGTTTTGGGCCGTGGGTCGCTGCAGCACCGTCGCTGCGACTGCGTCCAGGCATTGAAGTTGCTCTGCGATACCTCTGCATCCCACGGCCTCCGGCATCGATCCGCCCTGGAATCCAGCGTTCTCAAGGCTGACGCTTCTCCCACCGCGCGCGCCCCTCTGCAACCTACCCAACTCAAAAACCAGGCTGCCGCCAAGCCAGCAGCGAAGAAGGCTGCCGCCAAGAAGGCTTAGACGACGCGCGAGGTCCCCCGCGCTCTTCGTCTCTGCTTGCTCTTTCGGCCGTATATCCACCCTCGCTTCGGTTGCCGCTGAGAGGCCATGCGCATCCAGGCTCCCGCTCTCAACCTGGTCGCTCGCACCACCGTCCTCACCACCGGCTTGGGGCACTCTCGGCGAGTCCGAGGCAAGGGCGACTCCTTCTTCCCTCCTGTACAACATAGCTTCTCTTTTGCGTTCCGGCCTCGTCTTCTTTGTCCCGCCTCTGGTCTCTCGTCGCGGCCTGACCCCCTCTTGCCTTCCACCAGCACTGAGGAAAGCGGACGGGAGAGGCTGGCGGGGGAGGGCGCCCGGCGCGGCCCCGCGACCTGGATCGCGACGCGACGGCACCCGTGTGGCCGAGACGGCCAGCCTCTTGTGGCAGGCTGCCTCGACTGTCCCTCCAGTCCCCCCGACCCCCCTCTACTCCCCTCTTTGCTCGACTTGTATTAACTACTCTGGGCTTCCCCTTTCGTCCTTTGAACCTCGCCTCGTCTTCCATTCGCTCGTCGTCGTCGTCGACGTCGTCGCCGTCGTCGATCCAGTCAGGGCGTGAGGGTAAGCGGAGAGGGAAAGGGGCCGATGGCATGGCCATCTCTGGCGCAATCTGAGCCCCGCGACTGGCCAGCGGCAATTGGCAGCTGACGGGCGCCCGCAGTGGCTGGCCCGAGGTCCGGGACTCGGCCATGTGGAGCGAGCGCCCGGCGAGGATCCTGCTGGCCTGGTCTGGTCTGGCCAGGTCTGGCTGACTCGCCGCACCGCCTCTCGTCGCCCCCTCCTCAGCTTAGCCGCAAGCAAGCCGCATCACGGCCTCATTCTCTCATGCTCTCGACTCCTCCTGAGCGCCCACCTACCGTATCTGCCCCGGCCCACGAGCTCAGCCTGGCTCACACGCGGGCAAGGAGTGACGACTAGGCGCGCGCGACAAGATGGAGCCCTCAACTCTGCCAACCTTCTCGACCTCGACCTCGGCCTCATCTCCACCCCCTCCGCAACCCTCGCCCGGAACCTGATGACGATGTCCTCGACGGACAATTCCCGTATCCAAGAGCTAGATGGACCAACAAGGGGTAGTCTTCGGGCCAGCCTCGTCCTCCTGTCGCCGGCGCGCATCGTCGAAGAGCTCGTCCGCAACTCGATCAGCGCATGTGCCAGACGCAGCGGCCAGCCTCCAGGCCCAGATCAGAGCCTTGCAGGGGCCGATAGGAGCGTGGCGGGCACCATAGTGGTCGCGATCGACTTTCGGACCTGGTCGATCACCGTCCGAGACGACGGCATCGGCTTTCCTTCGACCTCGGCGTTGGCCTTGGCGCCTCCACGGGCTCACACGGCGACGGACGGGCCGACCCTGAAGCTCGTATCGTTCCTGGGGCTCGTCCGCATCCGCTATATGCCCAGCTCCGCGGATGGTGCTCCGACATGGAACGTTCAAAGGACGGACATCAGCTGCGTGGTCAAGGACGGCGTAGTCCTGTTCGAAGGCCCAACTCCTACCCTCAGTCCGCGAGCGCATGTCATTCACGGCGTCGAAGAAGATGCCGCTGAGCTCGGACAGCCGCGCCTCCTCAGCACGCGAGGCGGAAGCACGGTAGTCGTGCACGACATCTTTGGCCAGGTGAATCCCCGCTCACGCTATCTCGGAGCACCTCTCTCTATCGTTGCAAGGCGCTAGCTCGAGCTCACCATTTAGGAGCTTGTTTGCACCGTAACAGATTCCTGTAAGAAGAAAGGCGCTCCGCACCCTCGCGGCGCAGAAGAAAGAGGTTGATCGCACCAAGGCCCGAATCGAAGAGCTTGGCCTGCTCCAGCCTGGCATCGCATTCCGCCTGCACGCCACCTACGCTATGCCCTCGTTGCCCTCCGATCCGACGTCAGTCGTCCCGGCCCAGACGGACAGGAGGGAAGAGGAAAGACTCGTCCTGAGCCTGCCAAAGGTAGGATGCATATCGCCAACGCCAGCCATGTCACAGGGACGCAGCAGCTGACGCCTTCATTCGCTCTTCGCTCGCGCACTCAGACGAACTCCCTTGCTGATCGCTTCGGCGACATCCATGGCAGTCAGCTGATCCGCCCGCGACGTTTGCAAGAGATCGAAATCCATCAGAACTTTCTCCTTGCAGGCGTTAAGGACAGGCGGCCACAGACAGCAGTGACCATCGGGAGCACCGCGGCGGCCAACTCACGAGTCAGCAGCCGACGCGAGGTCAACGTCGTCATCGACGGCTTCTTCTCGACTTGGCCGTACGAGGCCGCCGGACCCTCGGCACAGCGCTTGTTCTTCAACCACGAGTGCCTGCCTCCGCTTTCAAGAGGAAGCAGGGGTATTGGCGACGTGCCCGTCGACGGCTTCGACGACCATTTCGGCCCGTTGCCACGGAGCCTGAGCGCAGAGCTGAACAAGTACGGCCTTCTCGACGACAGCCACCAGCCGCTCCTGGAGCGAGGCGAAAAGAGGCCCAGGACAAGCGGTGCGATGCCGGCCTCGACGACGTTCGCGAACCCACAGGATGCCCACAAGGCACTCGCCTCGATCTTTCGGCAGAAGCTCGAGGCACTTGGAAAGCTCGTGGACGATCACCAGGTGGCCTACCTGGTGCGTATCCGCGTGGAGCCCGTCGGTGCGAACCGGACTGGCACTCCGGCAAAGCATCGCCTCAGCTTCGGCGCGTTGATCAAGGCTGTGGAGGCGTCTATCCTTGGGCCCGCTGCTAGCAAGGCCGATGACAAATACACCGCGCATGAGGGCAAGCGAACATCACCGTTGGATGCCACCGCCACCACGTCGAGGAAGAGACTCAAGACGATCGGTCCAGGCGCTGCCGGGAATGCCGGATCGGCTCGGTCATCTGCTCGCTACGAAGCTCCGCCAGCTCCAGCGGGCATGATCGTCTGGACGGATCCACTCACACAACGCCGGTACTTCGTCGATGGCAGGACCGGCACGAGCTATCCGGCCGATTACCCGCGATCTACCGTGCTGCAGCGCCCATCCTCATCTCCCTCGAACACGACCTCTCGGCGGCAAAGGCCGATGTCCTCTAGACCGTCGACAGCAGATCGGACACGCCTGGCCAAAGAGGCTGTTGCGATCGGTCACGAGCCCGATCGGCCGCAGTGGCTGCGAGCCACGCTGAGCGGCTGGACGAACCCCGCTTTTGACACGACGCTGCCGAGGCACGACGGCGGCGAGGTGCCCACGTTGAACCGCGACCATCCGCGGAGGCCGACGTCGACCCGTGGCGCCTCGACCATGGACGCCGTAAGCACGGCGTTGCGAGCCGGTGGGGTCGACGAAGATGTGTATGCGGCACCCTCTCCCTCGTCCTCTCCTCGCAAGCGCAGTGACCGGAAGGAAAGCCGGTTCTTCATTGCAAGACAGCAGAGCGGAACACGGACAGGGCGTCTGCGGCCGCCCGGCGCCTCTTCTGCATCTGCTGCATCAGCTGCCGTCCTCGCGCCCCCGCAGCAACGGACGGGGACCGGATCGACGTTTGCAGACGTCGAGTCGGCCATCCCTCACTCGTCGCTGCGACGAGCCCATGTGATCGGCCAGGTCGATGAAAAGTTCATCGCATGCCTGCTCGACCTCTCCTTGCCCACCGAGGACAGCGTCGCCGACATGGCTGGACGACCAGGCCTAATGCGCTGCGGCGATGGGTCGCGGACCGCTGCTTCGCCGCTGCTGGTGTGCATCGACCAGCATGCGGCCGACGAACGGGTGCGGTACGAGCGCTTCCTGGCCGAGTACGTTGCGGGCTGCCTGGCCGGCGCCATCGCATCTGTGCCGATCCGGCAGGACGACGAGGTGCTAGTAAGCCTCGATCAGGACCTGGTTGAGGCGCTTTCGTATCGATTCGAGGACGTCGACGTCACGATACAGCAAGAGCTGACGTTTTGGGGCTTCGAAGTTGGCAAGATCGACAGCAGAGCCGCCGGTCAGAGGTCCGCCGCACGCACCGTCACGGTCGAGATCCGGTCGATACCCGAGGTCTGGAGCGACAAGGTGCTGAAGCGCGACGGTCGCAGTCTCGCGGAGCGCGAAGAGGTCAGGGAGGTTGTGCGGTCGCACCTCGTCGCCTTGTCCCACCGCCCCGAGGGTTCTCTAGGCGAGGGACCGACCACCAACGACGAGGCGGCTTCGGTTGTCATCGCTCAAAGGGTTCCGAGGAAGGTGCGCGAGTGGATCGCGAGCAAAGCTTGCAGGAGCGCTATCAGTGAGTGGGCCATATCGTTTTGTCTCTCCCTCGTCTTCCTGTTTCGACCGTCGGATCGGGGACTGACGTAGGGTCGTCTGCGACCCTGTCTCTGCGCATTGCGACAGTGTTCAACGATCCCCTCGACAGGCAGCAGTGCGAGGCGCTGGTGGCCAGGTTGGCCGAGTGCAGCTTCCCTTTCATATGTGCCCATGGCCGGTGAGTTTCCACCCGAGACCAAGGCGATGAGTTGCAGGGGTGAGAGAGAGCAGACGACCAGGATGCGCTGACACGCCATCATACCCTCCTGCCGGTGCTTGCATGTCGGTAGCCCGTCGGTGGTTCCCCTCTGCCTCATCTGATGGCGCGCTTGACGATTGCCGACTCGATGCCACGGGCCCGCCCGGCCGTCTCAGAAATCCACCTTTTCCCGCTTGAGGTCGACAAAGCCCCGCAGCGACTTGGCGACGGCCTCGATGTGGGCGATGGCGTCTTCCAGGCTGGTGTCCTTGTCCAGTGCACCCGCCACCGCCGTCGCTGCTGCATTGGCGCCCGACCTGCCCTGCCCCGTCGAGGGCGTCGAGGCGAGGACGGAGGCATGGGTAAAGTGGGTCGCGTCCAGCTTTCCCCCAACGGTCGAGGTGAGTTCGATGACGACAGTGTGGCCGTCTGGGTCGAGCGGGACCCACTCTGCCTCTTCGTCGTCGTCGTCGTCGCCGTGCAGGTATCCGGTGGGGTCGGGTCGAAAGATGCGGTAGATGCGCAGGATGTGCAGCGTATCCGTCGTCGGCTGGAGCGGGTTGGAGGAGCCACCGCCGCCGCTGTCGGTGCGTGCGCGTGCCGACTGGTCGTCGAGGATGAATTCGAGGCCGTACCGGATAAAGGAAAAGGAGGGCGTCCAGCCCAGCGCCGAGGTGAGGGTCCTCCAGCCCGTTGTCGCGTCGGTGTCGAGGCAGGACGGGGGGAGAGGGAGGAAGGGCGTGGAGAACGACGAGGTCGAGGTGGTCCGCGTTCTGTCCTTGGATGAGCTGTGGAGCCGAGACGAGGTCGGTTGCGCGAGGACCTGGACGTTGACGGCGGGTCGTACGGTGACGCGGGGGTATTGGCGTTCCGGCAGGGGTGGGAGGGGCAGGGCGAGTTGGCACTCTACCTCGTGTTCTGCCTCGTTGTCGACGCCTACGTCGTAGCGGCCCAGGCGTTCCTTGACTCTCAACCGGACACCTCTGCGGCTGCGCACGACGGCAGCCCAGGCATTGTCGTGCTTTTCGCGCACCGAGCTCGCGACGTCGTCGTGGCGTGCGAGGAGGGTTTCGCGTTCCAGTAGGTCGAGGGGCGGGAGGGTGGTGAGGTGGCGGGTGACGTGGGCGAGCAGCCCGGCGAGGTGGACGAGCGGGACGGTGCCGAGCAGCGAGACCTGCGGGTGCTGCGACGACGGGCCACTGGCGCTGGCATTGGCGTTGGCTGCCGCTGCTGCCGTCGCCGAGGTGGTGGTGGATGAGGACGAGGAGGAGGAGGAGGAGGAGGATGGGTTGATGGCGGTGGATGGCCCGCCGGTGTTGTACGATGACGAGGCTGGTTGCTGTTGTTGGCGTATCGAGGTCATTTTGTGTGTCCGTGCAGGTGTGTGGTGCGGGTAGGCCGGGCGGGCGAGATGGGCTTGGAAGAAGGTCGAGAAGGAGGCAGGGTGAGGACGAGGACGAGGACCGACCACCGTCCAGGGTCTCGGGGATGTGGAGTAGGCAAGGGGGCCCTTGCTGTGCGGAACCGACGAGAGCGGATGGGTCAAGCAATCGGGACCGGGATCGGGAGAGGACCTGTCGCTCGGAGAAGCCTGAGCTGGCCTGGCCTGGCCGAGGTGCAGCCCGACCTGACCTGGCCTGCACTGGCCCAGCCTGGCCTGGCCTGCCTGTCGGGCTGCGCGGTGCTGCGCGTTCCTCGGCGTTGGCGCTGGCCTCATTCCAGGCGGGGGACCCTTTTTGGCTCTTGGCCCCGCACCACGACCAACAACACACCACAACAACACCAACACCAACGCAAGCTGCACATTCCGCCGATCCCCTCTGGCTCCGCTCCGAACCTCTTTTCATTCCATCGCCGAGCAGCCTGCAGCACCACCGACACCCGCACCGGCACACCATCACCACCTCGGCCGCCGTCCGTCCCTTTGCTCTTCCGCGGCATCCTCTGCCGCCCTCTGCTGGCCCTTTCCCCCCGTAGCCCCGATCCAGCCTGACAAAGCGAATGCCAAAACAGCCCATGCCTTGCCTCCGTCATTGCATCGCCACCAGCACCACACACTCCTGCCCTGCTTGCCTGCTCCATTTCTCCCCTGCTGGCGTGCTGCTGCTTACCAGGCACGCGCCCGCTCCAGAACCGTACAGCGCGGGGCGTCCGCTTCAGCCCCGGTCACTCACGCCTGCCCTACCTGTCGCGTACTGTGCGCTTGACCCTCGAAGGATGGCATCCTGCTACTGACTCTGCCTCATGCCCGACCGCTCTCCTATTCTCGTGCTTCGGCCCACACACACACACACACACACATGGTCCCATCCTCTCCCTACGTGGCGCTCGATGCAGGACTCGCTGACTTGACCATCCACCTTCTACCTACGGTGCACCTCTAGCTCATCCTCATGCCTCCTAACCTCCCTGTCGCTCCCTCACCCCGAGCCAAGCCACTCGACGCGACCCGACGGACACGTCGCCTACCCCCCACCTCTGCCCACTGCCCGCCACACGCCCGAACATCGGGAAGCCTCGTGCCGCCAAGAAGCCTAAAGCGCACCGGAAGCCGTTCCGACCGACCGACCGGCTGACCGACCATTGGCCACCTCAGCGCTCCATCGGCCAACGAGCGCCACATCGGCCCGTGGACACGGCGTCGTGCAGCGGCACTGCCATATCAGCCCGGCCACCGCCTCCGCTTCAAGCACCGTCAAGGTTAGCGCAGCGCTCCCCGGGGAACCGCGGGCAAGGGCGGTGGTCTGGATTCCTGGTCTGCAGCACACTACGGGAGCCTCGGCGTCACTCGACTCGAGACTGATCTTGTTTGTCGGTCTCATCCCCCGCCAAGGCACAAGCCCTGCTTTTGCCGCTTTTGCGCTGTGTTTTCGTCGCGTCCCTCTTTCCCCTCCCTCCGTCCCCTCTCCTCCCTGCTCCGCCTCCCACCTTCCTTGTTCCCTCGCCCCCGCCCCTGCCCTCATCCTCTCTCTCTCTTCTCTCTTCCATCCAGGTCCTCTCCATTCCTACGCTCTCTTCCCTGTCTCACCCCACCCCCCTATCACTGCTCCACTCCAACCCACTCCACTCCCTTCCTTGCCATACCGGCCCACACCTTCCCTCTGTGATCCGGACCCTGACAGCTTTCCACCGTCTTACTCGAACCTGCTCAGACCTAAGGGCTACACACTCTCTGCCACCATCCACGTCTTATCCAGCATCGCAGTGCCCAGCAGCCTCGACATCCGCCTTCCGCTCTCTCCCGATACTCTCCTTCGCTACCACGGACGGTCCACTTGGCCAACCAACGCTTCCTTCCGACGCGTCAACACACTCGTTTGCCATCAACCTTTCCTCGATCATCCTTTGCGGGCTCGTCTGGGCCTGATCGACCACTGCCGCGCCTCGGCCCTCTGCTCGTCCACCACGCCGGAACCAGCACCCGCGCCATGCTGAGGCGCACCTGAAGCTCCGTCCGTATCAGTTCGTTGCGCGTCCACCTCTCAAATCAACACACCGTCGACACTGCTGGCTTGCCATACAGCTGACTCCAGACACTCAGGTCTTGGTTCTGAGCTCGTGTCTTGAGGCTGGCCTGCAGGATGGCAGAGCTTCGCGACGGCGGCCCGCTCCCCCAGGCTGGTCCAAGCGTCCTCAGGGACTCAATGCCGCCATCGCACTCTACTGAAGCTGGCGACACTCCGCAGCCGTCCAGCCGCCAACACCTCGGCCTCAAACGCGTCGTTTCTCACCGTTCGCCCCACGGCCATAGCGGGTCGGGAGCGGGACTCTGGCTCGCCGGCAGCCCCAGGCGCAGCGCGTCGGTCGGGAGCCGCAAGCCATCCGCTGACGGCGGCCCGCAAGAACGCGCCTCCGACGCAAGCGGCGTTACGCCGTCCGACGGACCTCCGCGCGCCGGGCAGAGGATGTACCATTTCCCAGCCACGCTCGCTGGCGGACCGGCACGTCCAGGATCAGGACCATCGTCGATGCGGACCGGACAGATGATGTCGAGCTGGCTTGGACTCGATGGCCTCGACACCTCTATCCATTCCACGCCGAGCGAGGTCGACCTCGACCTCTCGTTCGACTACGTCAGCAAGATGGAGCCGGACACGACCCCTGCGATCCAGGTCCATGGCGTCCCAGCTGCCGACGCTGTCGCCGAATCACCGCCGCCTGTTGCCAAGTCCGCCTACAGTCGTGCGCCTCAGCCCATTTCGCCAAGTCACAGGCAGATCCGCGGCATGGCAAGCGCAGACTGGGAGAAGCGCAAGAAGGCTCCTCCAGCTCCGTTGCCGCTGCAGTCGCACGCGAGCAGCTCTCGGTCTGGCGCGCGGCCGACCAGCGGACTCACGGCAGGCCCCGCACGGGCATCCAGGACCATCGGCCTGCCGCCGCACTCGAGCGAGCTCTTTGGGCAGAGTGTTTTCTCACCCCTGACACCCGATGCTCCGACGTCCATGGACGAAGGGAGAGGTCTCGTTGACGATGGAGACGTGCTCCCTCTGACGCCCCTCAGCGCGACGCGTCGTGCATCTCGGCTCCAACCTTCTGCCAAGGACTTTGACCAGCCGGCAGCCTCGAGCCACCTCGACGCGTACCTGGCGGCGGTAGGTTGCGATCTCGCTCCCGAACGCAGCACTCCCCCCTCTCCACCGGCTTCGAACGAACCGCACCGGCAGCACGGCCAGGCGCAACGGCCCGGTCCAAGCAGATCTGTCCGACGGCCGAGATCGAACACTGCTTCGACCTCTGCATCCACGCGTCCGCCTCGCCCGCCCCCGCCGACGGGGCCTCTTCCTTCTTCGCCTTTGGACCTGAGCCATGACGCTGGCGCGGCGCCAGATCGGCCGCGCAGGACGTCGGTCGAGAAGCAAGATGGCCCGGCCGCGCTGTCCCGAGGCTACGGGCTCGATCAGCATGCGTACCCGTTTGGACTGGCTCTGCAGCCGAGTCTGGCAGACCTGACCAACAAGAGCAGCAGCATGGCGAGTTTTCAGACGGCGGAAAGCTCGGACCTCGAAGTTGACGAGGCAGAGGCCGCCCTTGCCGTCGAGGGGACCGCAGCAAATCGTGAGTTGCCCCTTCCATACAGGGCCACAGCTCCTCTTGTCTCAAGCGCTCACCCTTTTCCATTCCCCGCTGCCTCTTCCGACGCTTCCGCAGACATTGTCGGAAGCGACGAGCTGAGCCCGCGGCAGGGCTCTTCGGTGCTTGGCTCGACGCCGATGCTGCTGAGCGCCTCCGATGCGACTGTCAAGTCCGGGAGCTCTTCGGATCAGTCGAGCTTCAGCCCGACATCCCACTGCTCCCCGATGACCCCCTTCACGCCGCTCTTTGTCGATCAGGGCAGCGGCAAGCCGCAAGTCTCGAATCCTGCTGACTGGCACACGGAGCTGGCCTTTGGCGGATCCTCAAATCTGACGGCGGAGGCGATACGCCTCGCTCGGCAGGATTTTCTGCCCCCGTCGTCTCCTGCTATCGAGGTCGCTCCCTCGGACTGGCGGCCGACCGTTGCGGCCGATGTAGTCGGCCTCTCGACAGAGGAGAAGGAGAGGCGCCAGACCGAGCTGTGGATCCTTGCCCAGCGGCAAAGACGGGCGGAGCTGCAGCATCGCGAGATGCAGAATCGGGCCGGCACGACCATCAAGGATGACGACAAGGATGCACTGGACCTCGAGCGCTTTGGCGATTCCGCTGAACCGGCGCAGAGGGACCGCAAGTCGACCGCAGGTAGCAGCAGCGACGACTACACGCGCCCCAAGCAGGTGCTCGTCATCTCGACCGCAAGCTCACCCAGCGATACCCTGTTCGGGCAGCCGCGGTACCCGTTCCCTGTGGTTCCCGCCTCGTCCCGGATGGGATCGACCGGGGATGATTGCCCTCTTTCGGCGAGCATGGATCGGAACGCCATGTCCAGCAATGGCAGCAACGAGCGGGCCGCGCCTCCCATGGTCCGCAACCGGAGCGGCACCACAGGACCATGGGCCCAGTCTCCTCTGCTGCTCAGCCCGGACGCGACTATCACGGCACCGCTTCCACCGCCAAGCCCAGCAGGGACGACCATCATCCACCACCTCGAGGACGACGAGCAGATCGACGTGCGGGATCCGCTCGTCGACGTGACGCGCACAGACAAGGCGCTGTTCGAGCCAGCCTCCCATGGATCGACGCGGGCCCCCGTGCCCAGAGAGGATGCACAGAGCCGACGCACGTCGCTGTCGCAGCGGGAAGTCAAGTCGGCCTCGGCGGTGCAGACGAGCTTTGGAGAGCAGGCGCTTCTCCCGAAGCCGGCCGAGCACCCCCCGTTGAGCTTCGGCCTCGGCCTCGGGCTGGCCCTGGATCCGGCGTCGCTCGACGGCGGCGCGACGAAGCTGCAAAAGGCGCGCAGCGACCAGGACCTCGCGTTTGCCTACAGCTCGCGCAGGCCCAGCCTGGCCGGATCGACGTACGACGGCGACAACACGGGCAGCCCGTACCTGGCCATCGACATGTTTGCCAACCCGGCGGCATCGACGCGCCAGGACGGACAGCACGAGGTGCGGCTGCAACGAAGCTCGATGGCGGACAAGAACCCCTCGCTGCCTGGTCCGGCCCTTGCTGGAGCGCTCGGGCTCCATCTCGGCTTGGCGGACGGAGCCAGCCCCGTCCTACCCGACGATTGCCGGTCGCCAAGGACCGTCAGCGGCAAGCAGCACGGCTCGAACACGGCCGGAGGCATCGATGCTCTTCTTGGCAGCGGCAACACCGGCAAGGCGATCGGTGCGTCGATCGGCGCACAAGGCGACGTGGCCGTCCACCGCGCAGTGACAAACCTGCGTCCGAACAACAACGACAGGGCCCTGCCCGAGTCGGGCAGCACGGCGTCCAACATCTCTGCGTTTATCTACAACCCGACGCCGCCATCGCCGCTGTACGTCGATGCGTTCGAGCACCCCTCCAACTTTGTCGACCTCGACCTGGACGTGGCCCCGGGCAAGGGCTCCTTCGCCCCGCCCGCAACGTCTCATCAGGAGCCTGGCAAGGGACGGTGGCGAGCCCGGCTGTGGAACGCCGTCGGGTCGGCGGGCACGCCTGGTCTCAACCGCGCCCACTCGATCAAGACGATGGAGGAGGGCAACGTCAAGCGGCCGCCCTTCCGTACCCTGACCCTGCTCAGCCGCAGGCCGAGCGCTTCCAACGCCACGTTCCCCGCCGCCGCCGCCGAGGCCGCCGAGGTCGATGCGGAGGGCAGGGAGATGGCGGCCGGAGACGCGAGGCGCGTCACCGAGCAACTCGTGACGCACGGTTCCTTCTCTGCCCCTCCGACCTCCTTGCTGCCCAACGACGAGGCCACCTTCGCCGTATCGCAGGCAGCGCCTGCTCCGACGCTCAGGCAGCTCGAGCTCGAAGGCCTGACGCGGGCCGAGATTGGCAGGCCTCTGTTGGCCATGGCGGACATGGGTGCGACCAAACTGCAGAGGGCCAACAGCAGCGGCGGCAGCACCAATGCCAAAGCCGCTCGGCGGATGAGCGCGGCTGAGCGCAAGCAGAAGCGCAGCTCCGGCATCGCCTACATCAAGGACGACGGCGAGGTCGTCTCGCCCTGGAGCGACCCGTCGCATGGTCGGCGCATGTCTACCCAGGCTGTGCCCCCGGCCGTCGAGACGTCTCACCACCGTCGAACCTCGATGACCGTCTTCGGAGGCAAGGAGCGTGCCGTCGATCCGACCCCGGCTGGAGAGCAGCCGACTGCGGCGTCGAACCCGCTCGAGGGTCTCAAGAGCCCACGCGTCGCGCCGAGCCCGTCTGGGTTCACGCCAAGGATGCGCTTCGATCCGACCGACTGGGGCTCGACGGCGGCTGCCGTCCCTGCCGCTGCTCCTGGCCCGACGCTGGCCGAGCCAGCAAAGGCCATGGCTCCCATCATGGACGCATCGCACACGGGCCTGACGTTGGAAGAGGTGGAGCGGAGCCGCGCCCGGCTGAGGCTACTCGCCAACCGGACAGACCAGACCACTCCGTCGCATCAGGAGCGCTCAGCGCCGTCCAGCTTCTCTGCCCTGCACCAGCAGGGCCCAGCATCGGCCAAGGTGCAGCGGCCGGACCCGACTTTCGGGCTGCACCGGCGCTCGAGGACGGCTCGATTCGCAAATGAGCTGGCCCCAGGCCTCGACGAGCCGGAAGGCAGCGGGCACGAAGAGGCCGTCTCGGCAGCGGCGACGCGTCCGCCGACGGGCCGGCTGCACACCTTTGGCGAGGGACCGGCGTACCTCGGCGGCAACCGGCTGCGACGCAACAGCATGCTGGCGTCGTCGATGGCCACGTTCGCGGCGCCGTCCCGCTACCTCGACAGCGCGACGCCTTCCAAGAGCATGTTTTGGGCCGGCTTCCTGGGCATGCCGTGGCTCTGGCTAATCGGCGGATGGTGGCTGGATGCCGATGGCCGCATCGTCTCGCGCCAGCCAAAACACCGAGTCGAGTTCTGGCACCATGAGCCAAGCATGGCCGCCGCTGCCGCCTCGACCGCCTCGAGCCTTGGCAGCTCGCCCACGCTGCATCAGGGCGAGTTCGAGGCTCGCAGCAACGACGGCAGCGCGCCGCAGCGCTCCGACACGCCGTTGCGCACGCTGCGCAGCCAGAACACGTTTGCGTCGCTGCACTCGCACTACAGCCACCACGCGGCCTCGTTTGTCTCGTCGGCGGGCACCGCCTCGACGGCCAACGTGACCCACGCCGACCCGCGCAAGATCCCGCGGAGCCGCACAAAGAGCCTGGCATCGCTCATCGACCGGCAGCCCGAGGTGGCGCTGTACCAGTCGCCGGTGCGCGTCGTCGAGGCCCCGCCTAGCCTGGCGAGCGGGGCGTCGCGCTCCTTTTCCCGCGCCGGCACGCCGCTGGCGCAGCTGGCCGAGATGGAGGAGACGACGCAGGAGAGCGAGGAGTACGAGCGGTTGCGCGCCGAGCTCGTTGCCAAGGCGCGCGCCGCGCGCAACGCGCCGGCCGACTCTGTGCGTTCGTCGACCGAGGGTGGCCATACGGCGGCTTCGACCGAGGCGGGGGGCCAAGCCCACCGCACCGATGCGCCGACGCCCACCACCACCACGTCGGCCGGGCCGGAGAGCAGCGACGAAGCGTTTACGCATCCGTTTGTGCGCCCGCTGCGGCGGCAGTGGACGGCCGAAACGATGGTGAGCCAGCACGCGCTCCTCGCGCAGCTGGGCACGGCGCGCGGCCCGCTGGCGGCGGTGCGGCAGTGGGGCCAGCTGGAGCGCTACGTCCTCTACAACCGCATCGCCGCCATCTTTGGCAGCCTCGTCGTCCTCGCCGGCTGCAGCAGCGCCCTGTGGGTCGTGGTGGCGAATTTTTGAGGCGCCTGCTCTTGTTGCGCGCAAAGGCGGTCGGCGCACTCGTGGCCGCCAGGCAGGCCAGAGCCAGGGCCAGCGTCAGCGCGACGGCGGCGGCAGCAACGGCCTCGTCGAACGCTGCTACAGTTTCCAGCAGCGGCGGCGGCGGCGGCGGCCGGACGGGGCTGGGGGGCTTGGTGGGCAAGACGGCGCTGGCCGTGGGCGGCTGGGCAGCCTCGCTTGCCGTTTCGTCGCTCACGGCTTCGTCGGCGGCCAGCTGGACGTCGGCGGCGCTCGGAGCCCCTTTGGTGCCGGTTCGCGACGACGGCCCCGGTCACGGCCCCGACGACGAGGCCGACCGGCGGACGCTGCACCAGCTCGTCATGATCAAGGAGGTGGTGCGCGCCCTCTTTCGTCTCCTCGTCCTCGCCAAACTCGGCGGCGGTGCAGGGCAGCAGGCGGCCGCTTCGGCGCGCTCCCTCGTCGTCGCCCAGCTTCTGGCGTGATCCGCCGCCGCCCCAGCCCCCGCCCCGGCCTCGTCGTTTCGACGTTCGTCGTTCGCCTCCGACTCGTCCCCGCGCTCGTCTTGGGTCGCACGCCGCCATTCCTCGTCGCCCGCGTGCCCAGCCAGCAGACGACAGCGCAGCAACATAAGCAGGCTCTACTCGCCCCTCGCTCTCCTCGTTCCTCTGCCCACTTCCATCCGTCCACTCACCTGACTTGACCACCACGTTCCTTGATCTTCGCGTCGTGTCGTCTCGTTCAAAGCACCTTCGCTTTCGGCCTCCTCCCACTCTCCCTCGTATTCTGGACCGCATCCTCGCCCGCTTCTTCCCACACCCCCTCTCCGAGCTTGCCCCGCTCGTCGAAAGGAATGGACATTCGCTTCTTCTTTCGCTTACTCTCGTGGTTCCCCCGCCCTCCTGTCGTCGGTGTCGAGGGAGAGCCGATGGTGCGTCCGACCGACCGATCGACCCGTTACCAGGACATGTAGGACTTGACTTCTCGCGCCATTTCCGACTCCTCGTCCGTCTACCGCCCAGCAAGGAGAGGTGGGGGTTGGGAGCAACGGAGATGAGAGACGGCCAGGGTTAGTTACGTCCTGCCCCTTTTGCTTGCTGTAGCGCAACGCAGGACGACGTACCTTGACGACGAGCCAGGGCACACCGCCCGCTCTCTTGCCATTGACCTCGACATCGGCGGGCAGATCAAGTCGACGTCGATCGAGGCGCACCACTTCGCCTTCGTCGTCGTCTTGGCGCTCTGCGTTCGTCGTTGCGCCATCGGCATCGGCGGCGACGTGGAGCGGCGTCGATTCGAGGCGGCGTGCGAGCTCGCGGTGAAGATCGCCCGACGCCTCGCCGATCCCGCCGCTAAAGACGACGGAGTCCACGCCGGTACTGGCCATCTTGACTGTCGGTATTGGCGCAAGGGGGAGGGGGCAAGGACGCGGAACGAGGTAGAAGGAGCGGGAGCGGGAGCGGGAAGATGGCGAGGTGAGGACCCGAGGCTCTAGCGCCCGTATACCACATCACGTCGCGGGAGCCAGGGAGGGACTCACAGTAGTAGCCGCCGAGGGTCTGGACGATCTTGTCGACAAACACATCAAAGCACACGGTGGCGTCGTCGTCGCCCTGGTTGCGCCTCTCGACGACCTGTTGGAAGTCCGAGGTGCCGCAGATGGCCTTGAAGCCGCTGTGCTTGTTGAGGACCAGCTCGGCCTGCGACACCTTGATCCCCTGTCCCAGGTCGACGCTCGAAAACGGATCCTGGCCCTTGGCACCGTCCGACGCCGTCGAGGCCGACGACGAGGACAAGGCGGCGCGCGAAATGTGGAGAGCGAGGACGGGGTCGACGCTCCCGCTCCTCGTACCGCCGGGTAGGCCTTCGAGCGGGGTGAGGCCCATGGTGGTGTCGAGGCTCTTTCCGCGCTGTACGGCGCAGATGCTGCTGCCGCTTCCGAGGTGGCAGATGATGACGCTAATCTCGTCGCGGCTGCGGCTGCGGCAGCCGAGGCTCGGACCGAGGTGGCGCGAGAGGGAATCGAGGATCGACGAGTACGAGATGCCGTGGAAGCCCCACTTCCTCATCTCCATCCCACCGGGGAGGTGCTTGCCGGCCAGCTGCGGATCGACGAGGTAGCGGTACGAGCTCGGCGGCATGGCGTGGTGGAAGGTCGTGTCGAAGCAGCAGAGGTGCACCGCGGCCTCGTCGAGCCTCGTCGTCGTCGACGGCGAGAGGAGGGTGCGGATAATGGAGACGGACACGGCGTTGTGCAGCGGCGCAAACGACGAGAGGAAGGTGAGGGTGTCGAGCGCCGACGCGTCGGCGCGCGTCAGGCTGATGCACTGCGGCAGAGAGGCGCCGTGGACGATGCGGTGTACGACGTGGGTGATGCGCCCGTGCGCTGCGATGCGATCCAGCAGGCCGTGCAGCGTCTCGACGTTGGTCAGATCGGTTGATGGGAGCTCCTGCGGTGTCGTCGGGGCGAGACCGTGTGGGGAGGGGGCAGGTTGGTCGGATGGACAGGCGTGTGGTGCCGAACCAGACGAGGGCCCGCGGGCATACTCACCTCTGGATCATCGTTACCGACGCGGAGTACGGCCTTGTCGTCCTTGATCTTGATGCTGCCGGCGACGACGAGGGCCGAGGCGACACGACCCGCTCCGGCGAGCTTGGCGCGGTCAAAGGCCTTGAACTTGAGACTCGACGAACCGCTGCAGAGGAGGCGGGGTACCAGAGCGGCGGGTGGGAAACGGGTCTGTGTGAGTCTGGACCGTAGCAGCAAGCAGAGTCCCGGGGGCCCAGGTGGCGACGTACGCATTGAGAGAGAGGAGGAGCTCTCGTTGCGCCTCACCTCGTCGACCGGCACCGCCGGACTGGGTGTGCGAAGAGGCCGCCTGCTGGGAGCGGTGGGATTCGCGCTTCGAGATGTTGTGCGCGATGAGCGTCTCGAGTAGTTCGGGCATCGTGGTCGTCTTGCGGTCGCTGTGATTGCCGTGGTTGTGGCGGTAGAGGCGCGATGGTGAGAGTCGAGAGCGAAGCGACTCGATGGAGCCGGTCGTGGGCCGTGCACGGGTTGGGTTGGCTACCGGTACCAGGCCAGGCCTCGGCGCGACCCCCGGCTGAGGGCAAGAGCAAGCAGGCTGCTAGGCCGGTAGGCAGGTAGGCAGGGTGATGATGATGCTGATGCTGATGCACAGTCAGCCAGCCTGGCCCTTGGCCGCCTGCTTGGCTTGGCTGGCTGACTGTCTCTCTGGCACCACCTACGCTGGCCAGCGCCGGCGTGGACCTGGCCTTGCCTTCTTGCCTTGCCTTGGTTGGCTTTGGCTAGGCTTGCCAGCCCCACGCCGCCTAGCCTGCCTAGCCTGCCTGCCGCCGGCGGATGAAATGCAGGGCCAACGCAGGGTCCATCCCGGCCCGTCCAGCTCACTTGCGCGCGTGCGTGCTAGACGAGGCCTGGCCGTGCGTTCGTGCCTGACCACCAAGCGCACGCACGCACGCACGCACGCACGCTCACAACCACGACCTCAGCCAGCAAGAACCACCGACCCCCGGCCGCCGCCTCTTCTGGACCGTCGATGATCCGAGGCAGGCTATTGCATGCCCTTTCGATCGCTCCTGTGTATCTGCTAGGGTAGGCACTCCTCGTTGTCTTTTCCCCTTTCCATTCTTTTCCTCGAAATACAGATGGTGCTGGGGCCAGGAGAGGGGGGGGCTAGACGTGGTGTTGTACAGGGGGAAGAGGGGGGGGATATCAGATCGAGGGCGTGGGCAAAGGCGGGAAGCGAGAGGCGAGAGGCGAGAGGCGACAAGGGGGGGACAATGGCGACGGCGGTGGTGACCAGGTGCTACAGGCGTCTACTACTGCTACCTAACATCGCAGATCGACCTACCAGCGACCCCGGCTGCTACGGCCGGCTGGTGCTGCCGCCATCGTGCTGGCTGGCCGACGTGGCACCGCTCGTCGACGTGACACCCGCCCCGCGCCGAAAGGCCATCTCCTGGGCCTCGGCCGACGGCCGCTCGTCGCCGCCGCCGCGGCCAAGCCACCGGCGCAGCGTGCGCGCCGCGTCGCGGCCCACCTTTGTCCAGAAGGGGTCGTCGACGTGCTCGCCCATGGCGCGCCGACGCCGCCGCTTCATGCGCTTGCGGAACTGCTTTTCGATGAATTGGAAGATGAAGGCGTCGAGCAGGCCCTGGGCAAAGATGAACCAGCGGCTCAGCGTGTGCAGCACCTCTTGCGAGCGCGTGCGCCCCTGGTCGTTGGCCAGATCGTCGATGATCCGGATAATGGACAGCGAAAACAGCAGCACGTAGGCCGCAGGGTACAGCAGCATCAGCAGGCTCGCCTGCCGGTTGAGCGTGCTGCCCAGGCTGTCGACGCCTTGGCCGTCGGACCCAGACGACGCCGTCGTGTCGCTCGACACCTGCCCGCCGCTGCACGACGGGCCGCGATGCCCAGAGCCCTTGCTGGCCCTTCCCTCGCTCCGATGCAGGTAGTGCGCCAGCAGACGGTGGCTCCGCTGGCTTCCGCCCGTCTGCCCAGCAGCGCGTCGGTCGGCGTGCCGCTCCCGCCTAGGCTCCTCGCCCGGCGACGTCACGTCCATGCCCCAGCTCCAGTCGTCGCCCAACGTCTGCTCAAAGTCTTGCGCCGTCGGCGGCATCGGGATCGCAACGGCGCGGTGCGCGTCGTCTTCGGCCCTCGCCTCGCCGCCCGCGTGCGGCTCATCGCCCTCCATGGCCAGCATCTCGCCCATGTTGGCCCAGATCTTGGGCGCGTTGAGGTGCTTGAGGTGCTCCCGCGGAGCACTCGTCATGTCAAAGTCGCTCACGTCCTTGCGCGGCCGCATGGGTCGGAAGCTGTACAGGTCCTCGTCAGAGTCGGAGCCTTCGCTCAGATCCCCAAACGAGGCCCGCCGCATCAGCATCCGTCGACCCGCCCTGCCGCCCACCGTGTAGGCGTGCGACGAAGATCCTTCGCGCCGTTCGCCCGTCTCCTGGTATCTCGAGGGCCGCACCTCCCGCTTCTGGTAGGTCTCGGTCGTCGACGGCCTCTTCGATGCAACGGCAGCGCCTCGGCTGCGGCCAAGGCTCCGTGGTGGGCCACGGGGCGGTGCTGCCCGGGCAGCGTCGGCTTTTGTTGATCGCGAGCTGTCGGCACCAGCGCCGTCGCCGAACTTCTTCTGCGGCGCCGCTGAGGACGTGGCAGTGTCTTGCGCCGATGCTAGCGTCGATCCATCCATGCTCATGCCACTTTGCTCTACTCGCCTGCCGTCGCTGCATTTGCCATCGGCAGCGTGACTCGGAACGGTTTCCGCAGCGCCACTCCAGGTCGCCAGCCCCGATGGCAATGGCGCCGAGGCCGGCGGATCCGATGCTGATCTTGAACGGTAGAGGGACTCGCGAGACTGCCGATTTTGCGTGCTCGAACGCGGCGAGTCGACAACCACGATCGGCGACGGCAGATCTGCCCGTGTCGCCGAGCCGCGGCGGAGGTTGCTCCACCCAACGTCTTGGTCCGTGCTCTGCCCTGGCAGTGCGAAGTCGGCGGCACCGGCTTCAGCTCGCCTTGCCTCTCGGGCCGCATCCTCGAGGTCTTCACCCTGGACTGCGGCAGCTGCTCGCTTCGCAGCGGCGGCGCTCTCGTGCTCCATCTGCTGAGCCGCGTGACGCTGGTTGAGCGTGCTGCTGCTAGCAAACTCCTGCAGCTCGATCGTGGCGGGACGTGGCGATGTCCGCCTCGCTGCGTCCGAAATCACCTCGACCTCGCCGTCTCCGCCTCCATTCGCAGCGGCGCCGGACTTTTTGCCGGACGCCGCAGACAGGAAACGTGTCCGCAGTGATCGCTTGCTGCTCGACGACCCAGAGACGCCCTCGGTCGTCGACGAGTCCGAGGATGCGGCGAGAAAAGGTGCGGTGGCAAACGAGTTGCCGTCGCCCACGGTCCCGCCGCTTGCCGTGGCGCCGTTGGCGACCAACCGAGCGTGTCCGCTCCGCGCGCCGGCGTCTGCGGGCGAAGATGCCTGCCCGCTAGACGACTTGGAGCCGGAGCGTTGCCGTGACCCGGAGACGTTCGAGACCGCCTTGAAGAGGTTGGTTCTCCGGAGGAAGAAGAAGAGGTGCGTGTAGAGGACGATGATGAGGACGGTGACGACGGCCCGCGGGACAAAGAGGAAGACGGCGCCGAACGAGGTGTCGCTCTTGAGCGTGCAGTAGCCGCCGACGTAGCCGTAGTCAGCCCAGATCCAGGCGATGCCGTGGGCGAAAAAGGCGATGCCCCAGAAGAGCGGCCAGAGCCACACCAGGCGGCGCTCGACCGTCAACGTGAACGACGAGAGCGGGTGCACGAGGATCATGTAGGTGACCAGCGCGATCCTGTGGGCGGTAGCGTGGGCGGAAGATGCAGTGGCCGGGTGCATAGGGAGGGATGTTAGCGAGCGTGCAAGAAGGAGTCCCGAATGCAATGGGCTTGACAGGACCGTGGGTGCTCACGCGAGGTTCCAGAGGTGCTGGGCAAACACCGAGACGCTGAGCGAATAGCCGAGAAAGCTGCAGAGCGCCGTCGTCTCGGCCAGATCCACGCCGGCCAAGAGGCAGGCGGTGCTGACGATGACAACGATGCTGCAGGTGAGAGAGGCGAGAGAAGAGACGGAAGGTGCGACCACCCGTGAAGGGGACGAGGGTCAGTGATTGCTTCCGGCCGGCTCGCGGTACGGAGCCAAGATTCGGGAGGAACATGATGTCCTAATCTCACCTTGCCGCTAGGTCGCTCGTAGCCAGGCCGACGATAAGAGCGTGGCGGAGCTTCCTCGAGCTCTTGCTCAGCAGAAAGGGGAGAATAATGACGAGGGCGCCGAAAAACGAGAGCAGGCAGATGACAAGGTCGACAATGTTGCCAGCATTGCCGATGCCCTGGATGGCAAAGACCGAAGTCCTGCGGACCAGGGCGGGGGTGTCGGTGGCAGGAGAAAAGGTGTGCGTCGCATCCCTAGCGGCTGCGGCGGACCCCACGGACAGCGATGCCGTCAGATCCGGGGGCAACCGCATGGCGGCTGACGGGCGGCGCCTGTGCCGGAGAATGGCGTCGTCGGCTGCTGGCCACCACGAGCAGAGCGAGAGCCGGAGGAGACTGTTTGATCGGTGGCCGGCAAAGCGTCTTTGTCGCCGGGCTAGATCAAGGAGAGGGCGGAGGGCCGTGGTGATGGCGTCATCCAGCCAGGATCTGCGGAGGAAAGGGGGGAGAGGGAGGCGATGGTCCGCCGATGGGTCGCCGCGTTGGGTGGCCAGCTGTGGTCAATCAATAGGGATGTCGAGGAGCGTCGAGAGCGGTGTCGGTTGCTCTTCTTGGTCGGGGTCGGAGAAAGAGCTGGAATAAGTCAGGCGCCGAGGAGGGCGTGAGGCAAGATGATGTCGGAAAGGGAGATGCGGCGGCGATGGTCGTGACGACGGTCGGTGATCACTGCTCGAGGCAGAGAGTGAGTCTGGTATACAGCAGCCGCCGAGGAGACGGACAAGGGGAGCCGGGAAGGGCAGAGGTGGAAGGTCCGTTAGACGAGCTCCGTGAAGTTGTCTATGCTGGAAGTCGCCCGCTGCTGCTGCTGCTGCGACGAGACTAGATCGAGTGCACGTGGCGGTGCCCTCTACCCTGCTGGCTGGAGGGTCAAGGGGCGGTTGGAGCGGCGAGATGGTGACTAGATGCGCGATATGTGACAGTCGCAGTCGCGCGCGGAGGGCCAGGGGATCGGCGGGCGCAAAGGCGGGGTCAGTGCGAGGCGGCCAGGGCGCTGATGGATGTGGCCGGCGTGCGTGCGTGCGTGCGTGGTTGGTCCCTTTGTCGTTGGTCGGAGAGTAGTGGCGATTTGTGCGGGCTGGTGCACGGTGGGTATAGCGCTAGAGGGCGGCTAACAGAGGTTGAGAGGCTGTTGCATAGTTGCCGGCGCGGATCGACAGCAGGCTAGGGGACGAGGGTCGGGAGAGGCGAAGGCGTCGAAGGGCGCGATGGCGAGCGAGAAGCGTAATAGAGATGGGGATGATGATGGGTGGTCGACGATGATGTTGCACGACGAATACGACGTCGAGGGGCGAGAATGTGGTACGGGTGGCGGTGGCGGTGATGGCGAGGACGAGGACGACGACGACGACGAGAACGACGACGAGGACGAGGAAGGGGGGAAGCGGGGAGTGAGGGAATGGCCGAAGGGGGGGGGGGGGTGGAAGGGGTTGCCGCGCCAGGGCCTGGGCGAGAGCGGAGAAGAGCGAGGAGGTGTCACGGCAACGTCGGCGACATTTGGGGACAGGCAGGCGGGCAGCCTGCAGCTCAGAGAGAGAGAGAGAGAGAGAGAGAGCGGGCGGGCGAGCGAGCGAGCGAAGAACGACAACCAACGTCGAAGGGAAGCGGCGGTCGCCGACGGATCCCGCCCGCTCGCCCGCCTGCCCTTTGCAAACGTCGACGCGGGAAACAAAAAAAAATCAGACGTCGGCCGGGGGGCAGGAGGCGAGGCCGCAGGGGAGGCAACCAGGGTTCAGTCAGGCCGACGGCGGCAAGCAGCAAGCAAGCAAGCAAGCAAGCAAGCAGCAGCAGGCCAGAGGCAGGCAGGCAAGCAAGCCGCCGTCTGCCTGCCGATGCAACGCGTGCCATGCAGGCCAGGCCATGCCATGCCATGCCACGCCGTGGCTGGCTGCCCTGTGACGAAGCGGGCAGGGCAAGCAAGCAGCAGGCCGGCTAGGGCAGGCAGCCAAAGGGCAGGCAAGCGAAAACGGGACGGGAAGCCAGCCGAGCCGCCTGCCTGCTCTGTGTGGCCGGTCTGGCCTGGCCTGGCCGGGCCTGGCTCTGCCCTGCCTGCCCGTGCCTGGCCTGCCTGTGGGCCTGCCTCCTTGCTCCCCCTCTGTGGCAAGCCAGGACGAAGAGGGGGGGAAAAAGAGGCGTCCGGCAGTCGGCTCCATGGCACGCGAGCTCCCAGTCGGCACCCTAGCCTGCCTGTGGATGGCGTAGCTACAGGAAGGGTACCCTTCCCTGTCCGGTCGAAGCCTGCCTCCGGTCCGCGTCCGCAGTCCGTTTGTTCGGTGAGATGCAAAGTACGTGAGCGCCAACCGTACGCCCGGAGTCCAAGCTAAGAAGGCGGGTACGCAATAGCAGCACACCTAAGTTGGCCTACCTGTAGCTGTACGCGGGCCGACGAGGCGAGGCGGGGGCGCCTGACGGAGGCGCCGGGTACGGGCCTGCGGGCGGTGAAGCAACGACGCCGCCGCCGCCAAACGCCTTGCTTCGACACGCGGCCAGTTACCCGCTGCTCACCGCCCCGCTCCCCCACGCTTCACCCTCGCCCCGTACGTGCGCTCTCTCTCTCTCTCGCACGCCCAATTGCAAGCGTGGTTCAGAGCAGACGGCTGCTCACGCCTCCTATGTCAATGGAGAACATCGATCTTCTACCGTACCGCCAAAACGAATGGACCGGTTGGTTGCGATGGAGGTTCGGGGCAGCGGACATAGCAAGAGCGGAAGCCGAAGCAACTACTGGGGCCTCGGCCCTGGCCCCTGGCCCTAGCCTCGTACCGCCCGCTGCCGCTGCTGCGCGGCTGCGCTGCCCTGCGTCGGGCTCCAAACGAGAAACGAGCGCAGCGCAGCACAGTCGCAATGCCGTATGCCAGAGCTGAGCTGGCCCGCTTCCCTTGGCTGCTCCTTCGCCGAGCGCCCGCGTCGGCGCGACCCAACCGCTCCCGCTTCGGACGTCCTATCGCCGCCCCAACCCAGAGGCCACACATATCGTTCATGCTTTGCCTGCCAGCTCGAGACGCTGCGGTGGGGCGTGGACGTCTACCGTAGATGCCCGGCAGGTCGGTCCGTAGGCGCGCCGGCGTGCGTGCGTGCGGGCGTGGGCGAGCGAGATAGAGGCAGGCTCATGCCGAGCAAGAGATCAAGTCCGGTCAAGGTCGACGGCGGCTTGACCCCTCTTTCTCCCTCTCGACTGTCTCCGCCGAGGATGCCGCAGCCACAGCAACATCTATTCGTCCGTGCTTCTTGATCCGACGACGACGACGACGACGACGACAGCGGCGGAGGCGCCGTGGCTTGCCTTGCCTTGCTTCTTTCTGTCTCGGTCGGGTTGTCACGGCTGCGACGGAGACAGATCGACCAAGATCTCCGTTGCTCGAAAGCAGCCTGTCTGGTGCAACCTCTTGGTCTACGCCCTGCCAGATCGGCCCAACCTGTATCTCCGTCGTCGGTCAGGAGGAGCGAGCATCGTCACCACCTGTGTCCGCCAGACAAACAAGTGAGATGGCGGCGTGCTGTGCCGTGGTGCGGTGCGCCGCATACACCACGTCCACCCTGCCGCATCGAGACGAGCACTCGCCATCTGGAGCCGATGTCTCTATCTGTCCTCGCCGCTATATGGCGCCAGTCGCCGGCCTGTGTAGGTAGCATGCATGTCGCTTTTCACCGACCCCGCAGACCAAGGCAGCTCGACCGGTCGCTTGCCCTCCGCCGCCTCGTCGCTGCTCACCAGATCAGACCGAGGAGCGATCCGGTCGCCGTGTTTTCATCAACCACAGCGTACCGTACCGACCATGGGAAGGTCGCGACGGCCTCGCCTTGCCTTGCCTTGCCTGCCCCTTTGAGCTTGCCGAAGTAGACGGAGGATGAAATGCAACAGGATCCGAGGTGTTCAGATGGAAAGCCAGCCAGAGGTCGGGCGAGCGGGCGGACGGGCAGGCGAAGAGCGAAGAGCGACGTGTCCGACCTGTCCGTACTCCGCACACGGCTTTGCTCTGATCGTCGCTTCGGAGTCGATTGTTTCGACACGAACTCAGGTCGCAGCGTCGACGTGCCAAGAGATGGAAAGGAGCGACAGAGGGGGGCGCCTGCTGGCTCCGGATATACCCCACGCCGCTCACAGGTGCGGTGGGCGGGGATGGTCAGTACGTGGTTGGAGGATCCAAATGCCGGCCGCAGCGCTGCATTGCGCGAACAAAAGGTGGTGGTAGGCAGGCCACTGCCACGGCCACGCCCCCCCGTTCCCTCATTCCCCCCTCTGGAGCACTCACATGTGACCAGCAGCGATACACACGAGGTACGCTAGCCGCTCTCGTATTGCACCTGACCAGGTGCCGTTTGTTGGTACTGAAGCGGCATGCTTTCGGCTACGAGGTCGATGGACAACGGCATGCATGGCGGATGGAAACAAAGAGCAGACAGGCAAGCAGGCAAGCGACGTCGCGAGTGAACGAGGACGAGACGACGACGATCTTCAGTTCGCTCCGTGCTCCTTTTTCTCACGGCCTCAACTCACTCTGAGACGCAGAAGAGGGCCGGGCCGGGTCGGGATCGGATGGCAAGGCAAATCAGGGAAATGACCGTCCGTAAGCGAGCAAGCAGGCGAGGGGATGGGAGAAAGACGACCATCGTGTTTCCCTGCGCCCCGCCGCGTCGCGATGGATCAAGCAACTGGACCTCCCTCGACGGCAAACGACCAAGCAGGTCTCGCCTGACGAGGCTGGCGGGGGAAGAGGGGGAGGGAGTACCGATATCGATATCGGTACCGCTCTGGACGATGGCGCAGCCCAGAGGCGGGTGGGGTCGGTTCGGTCGAGTGCCACCCAAAGACGCCACACCACTTTACCGGCCAACCCGCTGCCAGGCCTGCCCTCCCTTCTCTGGCCTCGTCAAGCGCGCTGCGTTGCGGTCACCGGTACCTGAACCTCGGTGCCGAAGCGAAGATCGCAGGCGCCACGATGACGGTGGCTTCCCCATTCGCTCTGTGCGCGGCAACGGGGCCCCGGCAGTCGTGAGCCCGGTTTGCTGTGTTGACCAGAGAAGAAGAAGAAGGGGGCGATGGACGACGACGACGACGACAGCGGTGGGCAGCGAGGGGTTCGCCGGTCAGACGTCGGTCGGTCGGTCGGTCGGTCATTGGGCGTGCGTGGCTCGCTCGACGAGGTCCGCTGCCTGCTCGTCTGCTCGCCAGCCCGCCAGCCCGCCAGTCCGCCAGCCAGAGAGGTGCAGCTCCGAATAATCAGCGTGGACAAAAGGCAGGCACCAGGAACCCGAGACGGTGCCTCGACCGCGGCCGGCGTGGGCGACGACGACGCTGCTGCAGACCCAGCGCAGCGCAGCGCAGCCAGGCGGCCATCGCAACAGGCAGCCTGCCGTCGGAGCATCAGCGCCAGGCAGCCGTGGCCAGCCGCTCGACGACGAACGCGTACGTACGTACCGTCCCCAACGCGCCGCGCTGCCCTACGGATGCAAGTTGGCAAAAGGTCAGTGCCCATCGCATCTTCCTCTCCTGTCTCTCTGGGGTTGGCGCGGTCGTCGAAGGCTGCATCGTGGGGGGCTGCTGAGACCGAGATCCCGACATCGTCGTCGCACCGTCGGAAGCCATACGTGGACCTGCCATGCCATGCCATGTCGCACCTTGCCTCGCCTCGCCTTGGATCCCGCAGCATGGCCAGGCCAGGTCAGGCCAGGCGGCGACGCGGATCATGCTGCCCCGAAAGACAGCCGCTTCGCCCCCACCCCATCCTGCTCGCGTCTACGCCCTACCGCCGCCCATGGCCATAACTACATGCGTTTCGACCTTCTCGAGGACGCTTCAGCACGCCCCTGCTCTGTCCTGTACATGGCTGCTGGGATCGCGTCGCCCTCGCTTGTAGCGTACCGTATGTACACCGCCTAGGGGCACTCGCCATCATCATCTCATGCCCCGGCCGGCGAGCCGTGCGTGTGCTTCGGCCGATTGGTGCCGTCGGAACGCGCAGGTGCATCTGCCAAACCCGGGCGTGCGCGCCTGGCAGGGCAGGGCAGGGCAGGGCAAGAAGGATCGAGCGGCGAAGGCGGTAGTTAGCGCGACATCCATACTGGTACCGGTACCACGCCATGATGAGAAGAGAAGAGAAGGATGGCCGCCGTCCAAAAGGCGGAAGACACATCCCGACCGACCGACCGACGCACCGACGCGGTGGACGCGATGTGGGAACTCGGTCTGTTTCTCACTCTCCCCTTTCCCGTGATCGTCGCCCTACCTCCTTGCCCTCAAGACTGCGCAGTGCCGACGTCTAACTTACCTTCTTTCTCAACGGACGTTCGATGCATCGTCCGTCGGGTGGTGAGTGGGACAAGAAATCGAGATGGGTATAGGACGAGAGGAGGGGGGCGCTGCGAGGTTGCCGGTCCCTCGCTGCTGCCTCCCCCCCCCCCCCCCCCCTCGTACGCGCCCCTTGCTCGCCTCGCTCCCTGCTGGAGAAGCGTCCCTCTCCTCGCCTCGCCTTGGTCAGACCGAGGAGGGATCGTTGAAGGCATGGTCCATCGACGCCCTAAGGGTTGCCATTGCTGCTCTACTCCTCTGCCTCGGGTCTAGAGACATATCGCAGACGCTCCGACGACCAAACGAGCAGGTGGGGCCGTCGCCACGGACCGACACGGCGCTCACCACCGCGTCACGTCCTCGACCTCGCCAAACACGCTCTCCTTGACGCCATTCGCACCCCCCAAAGCCGCACCATCACCACCACCGCCCGCCGCCGCCCTCTTCTCCTCCTCGCTGCCCGGCGCGGGACAGCCGACCGACCACCGACCCCACTCGGCCTTGCCGACGCCGTCGCCGCGGTAGAGGTCGTGCAGGTTGCGCCGCAGAAAGTCGCCGACGCGGTGGTTGATCTGCTCAAACTCGAGCAGGAAGCCGTCGTGGCCGTCGGGCGAGACGATGTTGACAAACTCGCTCCCCTCGATGAGCGCGTGGATCAGCTTCTGCTCTGGCGGCGCAAACAGGCCGTCCGACTCGATCGAAACCACCAGCACCCGCGGCGGCGGAGGCGACGCAGAGGACGTCGCGGCGCCGTCGCCGTCGCCGTCGTCGTCGCCCGATGACGAGAGCACGTCCAGCACCCGCGCCAGCGCCTCGTCCTCTTCTTCCTCCGACGTCGGTTCCGTGCCCCTCTCCCTCGTCACCACGGCCACACTGCCACCGCCGCCGCCGCCTCCCTGCCCAGCACCGTGCGCCTGCTCGGATCGGCTCCACCCCCACCGCCCCTTGGCCACGTCGTGCGAGTCCATCTTGCGCGTGAGGTGAATGTAGCAGTTGGCGTCGAAGCGCTTGACAAACTTGTCGCCCTGGTAGCGCAGGTAGGACTGCGCCGAAAAGATCTGGGGCACGTGCGAAGACGGAGAGTAGGCCTCGACGACGCTCCGATCGGCCCCGGCAGCCGCAGCCGCAGCCGTGTGGCTGGTCGGGTGTGCCGCCGTCGAGTAGGGGTTCGAGTTGCTCACGACGGGGGGCGGCAGCACCTGGTCCGACAGCTCAGACGGCGGTGCAGAGGCAGAGGGCACCGGCGGCGTGGTCGCAGTCGGCCGCAACGATGC